AACAGCAATGGGCCAAGGCCTGACTCACCGGGATCTCCTGGTGCCTGGCACTGTGGCCTTGAGGGGTGCCCAGCTCATCGCGAGGGCTTCCGGAGCCCCAACTGGCCTAGAGCTGGGTGGGAAAGGAAGGCAGGAACAGTCGGTGGGCCCAAACAGGGGCCTCTCTGTGACACCCCACCCTGCGGGCTGAGAGCAGCTCCCCCACCTGCTTGTAGTGCCCATGGCGGGCAGGGCAGCCTCCCCTGTGTGTTCCCAGCTCAAACCCCCCCACCTCCACCCCCTCCGGGCCTGCCCCTCCCCTGCCACTGCTCCCAGATGGCTCCAATTAAAGGGCTTTGTTTTGTTTCCATTTTCCCAAAATAAGCCTCTTAGTTCTGAACTCATTCTGCTTGGTCAGTCGGTGCCGGATGTGGGCCGGCTCGGTTGTGACACTCCTAGTGTCATTCCTGACGGCCTTTATGTCCCAGCTGGTCGGAGAGGACACAGCTTGGTATTCCTGGTGCCAACTTGGCGGCCTCTGCCATCTCCGTGGGACCAGCACCCGCTTCCTGGGCAGCCCCTTCTCTCCAGGCTCCACAGAGCCCTGAACGAGCGTAGCCAGGTTCAGGACAGGGGCTTTGGGGGCTCAGGAGCCAGCGGTTCTGAGGACACTGCTGTTTGCTGTGTGATGCTGGGCGCGTCCCCTTCTCGAGCCTGAGTCTCAGGTTCTTTGTAACACGAACAACCAGTGTGTAAGTGCTTAGCAAGATGCCAGCACGTAGTAGGTGCTCAGTAAATGCTGACTGTTGTCAAACAGCCTCATTCATGGCTCCTGACTTGTATAGACACTTGTGACAGTGTCCACTGTGTTGTCAGACTTGGGTGTCTCAGGTCACTCACTGGATTATAAACTCCTGGAGGGTACAAATCATCTTTACTCGTCTTTACTTGCGCATTCAGCAGGCATTTATTGAGCAACTACTGTGTGCCGGAGTCTGTGCTCGTTTTAAGGATTTGCAACCCTGTTCCAAGGGGGTCGCACACTAGTGGGAGAGGTGGTCAGGTCTTTACAGAACAGGACACGGGAGGCTCAGGAGGCTTAGGGACACCCAGACCCGGGCCCTCAGGATGAGTAGTCATCAGGCAGGAAGGTGGAGGGAGGGATGTTCCATGCTGCACTGAGGCTGAGACATGTGTTCCATCCACTCAGCCACCCAAGTGAGGAGAGCAAGGAACAGCCTCCCAAGCAGAGGGAACAGCCCATTGGGTGGCTGGGAGGTGAGGGAGCTGTGTGTTCCCAAGCAGTATTGCCCACAGTTAAGAGTTGTAGATGTTTTAGCTCAGTTTTTCTGATGGGGACACATTTCTCTCAATTTCCTGAACCTCATTGGCCCCTGGAACTTGCAAGGGTCTGGGCTGAGGCTGCAAATTTAATCCTTGCCGCTGTTTAGGAGATCTGGGGGCCGTTCCTTCCTTAGCCTCCAGGTTGCCTTCGGCAGAAACCTTTTCATCACAGAGCGGGGATTAAGTTGCTTTCTTAGCCCTTCTAATTAACTCTTATAACAAAAAGTCCCTGCCGCGTCTCTCTGATGTTCCTGTGTCTCCTCTCACCTCCCGCCTTGGCAAGGAAGAGGAAAAGCTGCCATGTCTCCTAGCGCGTGATGTTGCTCGTTTGCATGAAGTCCCAGTGACAGCCTTTTTCCGATCATGCTTCTAGCTGCCAGCTACCTTTTAAGTGGCTCCAAGCTCCCCTCCCGCGAGGTGTCTGGCTGCTAGATGTTTACGGAGTCTGGACGGGCGGACCCGCTGCGGCCTCCGCACAGCAGCCTTCCGTGAATGTGCATCTGGAGATGGTCCCTGCCCGCTTCCGAGGCCTGGAGCCTGCGCGGCACCGAGGCCGCCCCCGGGCCGCCCCCAGCCCCGATTCCATTTGCCACACATGCTTTCTTTTAAGAGACTTGGCATTACAGTGCCAAGCTGTGCTGCAGCGTAACTTTGAAAAACATCTTAAAACAGAACATGGCAAGGCGGTTGCTTTTCAATTTTTTTAAAAGAAAAATCTGTTTTCTCCAGTTTTTAAATTAGAACAAGCTTTGTGAGAGAACATTGGGGGAATATAGGCCCATCGAAAGGGGAAGGGAAGCCGCTGCCAGTCCTCGCCCTGGGGACAACCTGGCTCGTCCCCCCGCTGGATGCTTCTCTGTGTCTTCTTCGGGATTTTTCAGTCTAATCCGATCCTGCCTGTATCATCTCGCGTCTTTTGTTTTCACTCAGCTCTCGCACTGGAGCCTCCCTGGGTGCTGCAGATGGATTGTCAGCTATTTGAATGGCTTTGATCATCGTGTGAATTTATGTCCTGAGTTTGTTGAACTTTTCCAGTTTTTTCCTTATTGTAAAAAAATGCCTGATGAATGTTTTCGTGCATCGGTTCCTTTTCTTGTTTGAATTCCCAGAAGGGGGGAGCTTTTACCAAGGGCCTGGGATATTTTTATGACTCTCCATCCATGTCGCCAAACTGCCCTCCCGAAGGGCTTATGTATTTCTTTCCCCAGACTTTCTTTTATTGTGGTATAAACCACATGCAACGTAAAATTGACCACCCTAACCATTGTTGAGTACACAGTGGGCCGTTATTAAGTATATTCGTGTCGTTGGGCGATCACCCCCGCTGCCCGTGCACAGAGCTTTCACATCTCCCCAAATGAAACTGTCCCCATTAAACACTAACTCCCCCTCCCCCCGTCCGGGTCCCCACCCTTCCACCGTCTCCATGAATGTGGCTGTTCTAGATGCCTCACGTAAGTGGAATCACACAGTACTTGTCTTTTTGTGACTGACTTACTCATTTTACACCATGTCTTCCAGGCGCGTCCACGTGGTGGTGTGTGTCAGAATTTCTTTCCTTTTTTAAGGCCGAGTACTATTGCACTGTGTCTATTCCACTGTGATGTTTCTTCATCCTCTGTTGATGGGCACTTGGGTTGCTTCCATCTCTTGGCTATTATAAACGAACCTGCTGTGAACACGAGCGTGCAAATCTCTCTTCCACACCCCGTTTTCAGTGCTTCAGGTTTGTGCCAGAAGTGGAACGGTTGGCTCATGTGGTCATTCTATTTCTTCATTTTCTCAGGAGTGGCCAACTTAGTTTCCATAGTGCATGCTCCATTTTGCATTCCCACAGCCAGGGCCACAAGGGTTCCAATTTCTCTACATCCTCACCAACACTGGTTATTGTCTGCGTATAAAAATAGCCATCCCAACGAGCGTGGAGTCCAGCGTTTGATATATTTGTAAGAGCATTATGGAAGTGCAATTTGCCATGGACTTTAGCCACTGGAAGTGTGCAGTTGAGTGTCTTTTTTGTATATTCATGGAGTTGTACACCCATCACCACAGTCCATTTTTGAAGATTTTTCTCATCCCCATAAGAAATCCTGTACCCATTAGCAGCGATCCCCTAGTCTCCACTCCCACCCACTTCCCCGACAACACTAATCTACTTTATGTCTCTATAGATTTGACTGTTCAGAACTTCATAGAAATCGAATCATAAATATGTGATCTTTTGTGATTAGCTTCTTTCCTTTATCATAATGTCTTCAAGCTTCATCCACATGGCAGCTTGTATCAGTACTTCATTCCTTTTTAACCATCACATAATATTCCATCATACAATCTGCCACATTTTATTTATTCATCAGTTGACAAACATGGGAGTCATTTCCACTCATGTCTCTTGGATTTCCTCCAAGGAGTACAGTTATGGGGTCCTGTGGTAACTCTGCGTTCAGCCTTTTGAGGACCTGCCAGCCCGTTTTCCAGAGCAGCTGCACATTGTAATCCCCCACCCCCAGCCGAGGAGGAGGGTTCCGACTTCTCTACATCCTTGCCAGCGCTTGCTGTTTCCTGTCTTTTTTATTATATCCATCTTAGGGAGGGAAGCTGTATCGCCTGTGGTTTTGGCTCACATTCCCCTGGTGGCCATGATGCTGCTCCTCTTTCAAGCGCTCAGTGACCAGTCACCTCTCTTCTTTGGAATAATGTCTATTCAGATCTTTTGCCCATTTTTAAACTGGATTATTTGTCTTTTTTTATTGTTGACTTGTGAGATTCTCTGTGTGGTCTAGACACAAGTCCCTTATCAGATATATGGCTTGCAGATATTTTCTCTGATTTGATGGATTGAGGTTTCATTTTCTCAGTGGTGTCTTTGGAAGCACAGAAGCAGGTGGGGGCCCAAAGCTGGAAGACCCCCGTCTCCTCAGCAGCATGGGAGAGGGGAGAGGGGCTTCCAAAGTAACAGGAATGACCAGTGACCCCAGAAATCTGGCAGAGCAGGGTCCCCTGGCCCTGGTCACTGGGGGCTGTTAGCGAGGTGGCTTTGAAGGGTTCTCTTGAGTGGCGCCGGGTTAAGTTGGGAGATGAAGATGTGGGTCCAGCAGATAAAGCTACTCTTAAGCAATCCAGATCGGAAAAAATGTTAGAAGTGGGAGGAAAAGAAAGGCCCAAGGAAGTTGTGTTAGGAGTAGGGGTGCTTAGAGTAGGATGGCTGCAGACCCCAGGGGTATGGAGTCACTGGGAGGGCATGAGGCACTGATGGGAGTGTCAGCTTCGTTGGGGTATAGCAAAAGAAATAACTTTCTAAGAGCAGAGTGTAGAGCAATAAGCGACATCCCACTGCTGGAGACACTGGAGCGCAGAGCAAGTGCTGCCGGCCAGTGCTGCCACTCAGGGTGGCAAGTGAGTGCTGCTGGTCAGTGCTACCGGTCAGGGTGCTAAGCTCAGGTTCCTGTGCAGGAAGGCACCTGGCCAGGCAAGGGCTGGCACATCCCGCAAGCCCCTGGCACCGTCACCTCCGTGCCAGGCAGGCATCACAGATGGGTGCTGCACCCCCGCCACTGCACACCAGACAGCCTCATCGATGCATCCCAGATGGTGGATGAGCCTCCAGGGCCGGGATCGCAGGCCCCCCACGCCCCCCCGTCCCTTCTGTAACAAGGGTGCGTGTCTTCCCGCTGCAGGGAAAGCCTACGAGATCACCTACGTGAGGCTGAAGTTCCACACCAGCCGCCCCGAGAGCTTCGCCATCTACAAGCGCAGCCGCGAGGGCGGCCCGTGGGAGCCCTACCAGTACTACAGCGCCTCCTGCTGGAAGACCTACGGCAGGCCCGAGGGCCAGCACCTGCGGCCGGGGGATGACGAGCGCGTGGCCTTGTGCACCTCGGAGTTCAGTGACATCTCCCCGCTGAGCGGGGGCAACGTGGCCTTCTCCACCCTGGAGGGCCGGCCCAGCGCCTACAACTTCGAGGGGAGCCCTGTGCTTCAGGTCACAGGGGAGCGGGACTAGGGCGGGGTGGCTGGCTGCGGGCGGGACCCCAGGCGGGGGGACCACAAGGGACTAGTGTCAGGCTGCAGGGCTGCTACCCTGGCCACGCGTGGGCCGCAGATCAGAGATCCAGGGTGGCCAGTGCGGCACTGGGCACATGAAGGGGCTCGTTCCCACTCCGCAGAGAGGGGTCCTGGGAGCTGGCCACCCTCATCCTTGCAGCAGGGAGAGCAGCGGGCCCGTGGCCAGCTCCACCCCCACACCCCTGCCCTGTGTGTCCCAGGGGGTCCCCTCAGGTTTGTGACCGTCATGGTCTCACATGCATGCATATCCACGCTCCGGAGTGGCAGTCACCACTGGCCCGTAGGCTGGGTACCCCGCCTACCGTTCCTGGGCACTGGACAGCCCCCTTGTCCACTTCACTGGGCACAACAGGCCTCTGCGGAGTAGAACCAGTGTCTCCCTCCCACGGCTTTCCAAGCGTCTCCCGAGCCTGTCTAGGGTAGGGAGGGGCCAGGCTTGGAAACCTGTTTGTTCCTGGGGGGCACTGTTGTCCAAAAAGCAATGTGCCCAGCACGGTGAGACGTGTCATGTGCTGCCTGGGGGTCCCGGAGACCACCCGCAGGCTCAGCCATTCCCTAGGAGGACTCACCGAAGTCAGAAAAGCAGCTGTGCCCCCGGTGACGATCTAAGACGGTGAGAGGAGACGGGCAGGACTGGCAGGGGGGAGCGCGTGGGGCAGGGTCCAGGGAGACCAGGCGCAGGCCCCAGCCGTTCTGTCCCAGGAGCCGTGCAGACGGCGCTGGGTGTCCCAGCAGCCATGTGTAACCACACACACCACGTGCGCAGCCAGCGAAGGTCCCTGCCCTCGGAGTCCGGGGTTTGGATTGGAGGCCGGCCATGTAGCCACAGCTGACGGCCCACATGGCTGACTGTGGCCTCCAGTTCCTCCGTGCGGCCCAGGGTACCCCCTGCATTGTTACCGTAGACTCTCGGGTGGCTTGAGACCCCAGGTAGACAAAGATACTCTTGTCAAGCGGGACGTCTCCAGGCCTCAGACGTGGTGGGGGGAGGTGGGTGGCCAGACCCCTGTCTGGGCGAGGTTGACCCTTCACCCCCAGAATCACCTCTCCAGACACCCTGGCCCTGCTCAGCCCTTGAAAAATGTTCATGATTCTGCTGCTTCTCCACGGGCTCCAGCTCCTGTAGACCAGGCCGAGGCAACCAGGGTCACATGGAGACGGACAGGTGTCTGCACCGCGCCTGGGGGAGGCCTGCGCCGAGCCCTTAGGCAGTGGGGTGTCCTGACTTGTCTCTTACATTCTGGACTTTGCTCCAGGTCAGAGAAGGACAAAGAGGCCGTGCTGCCTCACCCTCTCTCCCCTTCTGGGAACGTGCATTTGCCCTTACATGACCTCGAAGGCATCGGGATTGCCCCTACCACTGGGGCTAAGAGACCAAATCCCTCCCCCCGCCGCAGTTCCCATCCGGTGCCTTAGATTGCCTTTGCGGACTGAGGGAGCAGGCGACAGGCTGCCAGAGACACGGGACTGTGGGCGGCGCCCTGATAGCCCCCCAGGCCCACCGTGTGGTGAAGGATCCCAAGGGCCAGTGAGGGGTCAAGGCTAGGAGTCAAGGTCAGATCGAACCCAGCTCCGCATACACCAGCCGTGCAGCCCGCGGCACAAGTCTTATCCTCGCTGAGCCCCGGTCTCCCCATCTGTAAAATGGGGCCGTGACGGTGCCTGGCTGCAAGGTTCCAGTGAGGATGGGAGCCAGACCCTCAGGCTCCGCAGCCGCCCCACCGGCCCGGACTTTGGCTGGTGGGGCTTTCCCGGTGGCATGTTTTCTGGAGAAGGAATTGCAGGGTCTTGGGCTCTGATGTCCAAGTTCCCACCCTGGGTGCCAGCATCTCGCTCTGCGGGGACCCATGACAGCAGCACGGCCGGGCACTTGCTAGGAATGCAGAGTCCCAGGGCCCCGCCGCATTCTCACCAGGCCCCGAGTGCCGCTGACATTGGGAAGTGGTTTTGGGGGGACAGGGATCCACAGACAGCTGAGTGCTGAGGTCCCAGAAAAGTTTCAGGCATCCCTGGGGCTCGGGGAGCAGCGCGACGGCCGGACCCGGCCCTGCTGGGCGAGCAGACACACCGCCAGGAGCTCATTTCTGTGCTGATGGGTCTGATTGCTAAAGCAGGGGCTCCTGGACTGAATTAAAATGCTGATTAAAATTCCGCCAGAGCCGCCCCTGATTATAACAGCAGGCAGATGGAAATGTCAGCCTTCACGTGGGCTCCCACCTCCCCACCGCTCTGCCAGGAGGAAGCTGCTCATTCCAAGAGCAGTGCCTCCCGGAGCCTGCGCTTGCCAGGCGGGGCCTGGGGGCTGGGTGCGCCCCAGCAACGCCCCAGCCCCTGCTCACGAGATGGGTGTCCCCCAGGTCAGGTGACTTATCCATGGAGCCTGTGAGAGGCCTGCGCCACGTCAGCCAGCCGAGCAGGGGAGGCCTCCCTCAGCTTCCTTCCACAGTTGGGGTGCAGGAGCTACTGGGAGAAGTCAGGTGGCTCCCCTGAGGGGCTGCTTAGCCCCTGCCCCAGCACCTTGACTCAGAGTATGTGCTCCACCCCACGTAGACACGGGGGTGGGGACATTGGTCCTCCTCCACGTGCCCCTGTGAGGTCACCACTCCGTCACTCCGCAGACGAGGCTCCAGGACACCGAGCACCATCCCCAGAGGGGCAAGGCCAGCGAGTGGCCTGGCCCCGGGGTGGCATGGCCCCCAGTCTCCTTCCAAGCATTCTTAGAACTTGAGCCTAGTGTGTCCTGTGTCCTGGGAGCTCCCAGGGTGCCGGCTGCCCCCTCCAGCTTAGCAAATACTCAGGGACATGCTGGCACGGCCCCCCTTTGTCTCCCCAGGAGTGGGTCACCAGCACCGAGCTCCTCGTCTCCCTAGACCGGCTCAACACGTTTGGGGATGACATCTTCAAGGACCCCAAGGTGCTGCAGTCCTACTACTACGCCGTGGCTGACTTCTCGGTGGGGGGCAGGTAGGCACAGGTGGGGCGGCAGGCCCAGGACCCTGGCACTGCAGCAGGAGGGGTGCTGCCTCGGAGCCACTGATGGGTGCTGCTTCGGAGCGGTGGAGGCCACTTCAGAGGTGCTGGGTCCAGCATTTGAGGCTGTCACAGCCCAGCCGCGTCCCCCCTCCTAGCCTGACCCCGGCTGCGCTCCACCGCACGGAGCTGCCCCCAATTCGGGGAGACCCTGGGCCTTTGCACCAGACAGTCCCTCGGCCTAGGAACACCTTTTGCGCCTCACAGGTGTGCTTATTCCCCCCACTGGGAATGGCACTTCAGTGTGCAGCGACGCCTGCGTGCCCTGCCACAGTCTGTGAGCTCCACGGCCAGACTGACCGTCCCTCAGCTGTGCCCTCCAAGTGTGACTGGTTCGTGGCGGCCGCAAGCAGGCGGGACTCAAGCTTTCAAAGCTTTCCGTCTTTTTCCTGCATTCGGGAGGTACAACCACAAGGCCGTCATCCCATGCCTTCCAGAACCTTCTGGTGCACTTGGGTGCCATCCGGCTTCACGGGGACCAAAACATTGTTAATAAGGCTTTGCGGCATCTCAGCACAGGACTGAGAGCTCTGCTGCTCCAGAGCCCCAGGGTCAAGGGCGAGGGGAGGTCGGAGGGAACAGGCTGCCGCCCCGCCCCTCTCCGGGGGAGGGCTGCGCTGTGGCATCTGGCCCCTGGTCCGGCCCTGCATTCTTCTCTGGGTCGGTCAGTGCACCCTGTAGCTTGTCCATGAAAGGATTGCCCTTCTCCAGGAAGCAGGGCCACCCAGAAGGGAGGCAGAGGCCACGTTTTTCTCATCCCGACATCCCAGGCCTGTCTCACATGTGGCCCCTTGTCCTGGGGTGCGGGAGGCCTGCAGAACAGGGAGGCACCAGCGATGCCTTCCGTATAAAGGCGCATGGGTTTCCTTCCTGGGAGGCGAGGGGACGGCAGCTGCGTTCCCGCCCCGCCTCGTGGGTGGCACTCGGCAGCCAGGCGTCTCTCCAAGGAGAGCAGGAGCGTACCCGGGGCGGGAGGCTGGGGCGGCCGTGCAGGGGGGTCAGAAGGCCCAGCCGAGGCCAGAAGGACGAGTGAGCACTCCGGGTGGAAGGGCCAGCTCGTGAGAGGGAAGGAGGACCTAGAAGGTCCAGGGTGGGAAGGGCAGGAACAGGAGGGGATTTTTAAAACACTCCCAGGTCCGAGTGGTGAAGGGTTGGAGGAGAGAGAAGATGCTAGATTGGGGGGGGCTAGCAGCGGGGGGAGGCCGTGGTCCGAGAGCTATTCAGGGCAGAAAGCCGGCCCCGTGTGGGTGGGAAGCGAGGCCCTCGTGACGCAGAGACTCTGGGCGGTGTCCAGGCAGGTGAAGACGTCTGGGGAGGGAACACGGCCCCGCTGCCGGCACTCGGGTGTCTGCACCCTCTGGGGCAGGCTGGAACTTGGGGCAGTCTGGAGAATCCCTCCTTTTCTCCTCCCCTGACACCCCCACACTTGATTCAGGTCAAACCACCGGCATCTCCAAGGACGTGGGGTGGCGGCTGCTCCAGCGCCTGCTGTCAGGGGATGTCAATTTGGGCCAGAGAACATCTGGTCACAGCTGGCGGAGCGGGGCCACCCTCAGGCCGGCAGCTGGGTGGGGGCAGGTGGCCCAGCCCCCTGAGTCCCTCAACGGTGTACAGGAGTCCCCCTCCTTCCTGTGGGCTCCGAGGGCTGGTGGGGCGGGAGATGTCTGCTGCCCCTCCCCGGGGCACACAGACTTTCGCTTGCCCCCGCCTGCCTCACCGCTCCCAGAGTGCTGGGGCATTGCCTGCCTGAGGAGCCTACCTGGGGGCGGTGCCCTGTGTCCCCAAAGCAGAGAGCAGGTGGTGCTGGGGGTGGGGAACCACCCGGCTCCGTGGAGAAGTGGCAGGCGCTCAGGTGGCGGGTGGGGGCGAGCAGGGTTCTCTAGCTCTGCCACGTGGCGGCTGTCCCTCCATGGCCGGAGCCTCAGTTTCCCCATCTGTGAGGTGGGGATAGTTACGGTCTCTCCTGCTGCAGCTGTGAGGCTCTGAGAGTCCAGCGGGAAAGCGGGAGCTAGTGGCCATGTTGGCCGGTGCTGGGCAGAGCTGGGCGCCACGGCGGGCCCTAACCGGCTCAGCCTGCCCCTCGGAGCCAGGGTGTGAGGCCTGCGTGGTCAGGCTCAGTCGAGCACGTGGTGCATGCAGCACCCCTGTTCCTGCCTGATTCCATCTGACTCCACACCCCGGGGGGTTGGGTGGGGTGGACGCAGCCCGGGCTGCCCTTGAAAGCGGGGACTCACTGAGAACTCAGGTGCCCCCCTAGACGGAACCGCAGGGGCCCTGCCCGGCTGCTCCCCTTCTCTCCCATGCCCCTGTGAGCCCTGCCCCTGCCAGCCACCCACTACCCGCCACCCCCTGACTCCACCCCTCCCTCCTGGGTGCCTCGTGGCTCCTGCCAGGGGCGCCCCTCGGCAGAAGCCCCTGTGCGGCCTGGGGCGTCCTCTGTCTTAGCCCCATCATCGATTGAGAGGGGACCTGCCGGCTCTGAGATGAAGCGGGTTTATCCTTGAACAGAATTTGGCCCTAGTGGGTGTTAGTGAAGCTCGGGTGGAGGGCAGGCCGCCCCGCCCCGCCCCGGGCCCCCCACAGCTTCCCGCGCTCCCTTCCCAGGTGCAAGTGCAACGGGCACGCCAGCGAGTGCGGGCCGGACAGCACGGGCCGGCTGGGCTGCCGATGCCAGCACCACACCACGGGCTCCGACTGCGAGCGCTGCCTGCCCTTCTTCCAGGACCGGCCCTGGGCCCGGGGCACCGCCGAGGCTGCCAACGAGTGTCTGCGTGAGTGTCCGGTGCTGTGGGCCGAAGGCAGCCTGGCCGAGGCTCTTCCCAGGCCGAGGCTCTTCCCAAGCCCAGGCTCTTCCCGCGTGCCTGGCTGCCAAGGGGCCCCGAGCCCTCGCGCCAGGGATGAGGAGGAGCTGGAGGCTGAAACGTCTCCTCTCCCACCAGCAGCTCCCACAGACCGAGTCCACCCCAGTGAGGCGTCCTTGGTGGGAGGCCGAAAGCTCCCCCAGCTTGTTCTTTTGTATGAACCGTTTCAACCGCAGCTGCTAATCAAAGCCAGGCCACTCCAGGCCCTCAGGTGCTGACCTGCCCCAGCCTCTCCCGCAGGTCCCGGGCAGCCCTCGATGCCCCAGCTCCCATGGGACGTGGCTTGGACCACAAAACCTCAGAAGCACGGGAGAGCACGGTGCCGTCATGCCTTCTCCAGGGAGGGGGACCCGCTGCCTTCCTTCCGGGCCAGCCACCCAGCTTCCCCCGTGCCTGTGCCCCCTGTCTGCGCACGGCCCTCCAGCTTGCTTCTCCGTGTGCAGCTGGCTGATGCCGGGTCTGGCAGCTGGAGTTGTCCAGGGAGGGGACAGTCTGTTCCTGGGACGGGTGCTGTCTGACGGAGCTCTCTGGGGTACCACGGCCCTTAATGGATTCCAGCTGCCCTTGCTGGCCTGCCTCCACCGGGAAGTCCTCCTGGGTCAAGGAAGCTATGCTGGCTGGCTCACCCCCTCTGAGCTGGGGCTTTCACATCTCTGTCCTCCCAGTCTCCAGCCTAAAAGCCAAGCCTTCCTGCCATCCCCCAGCCCAGGCAGCCCCAAGCCCTGAATCCAGCCTTGTCCTCATCTCTCAACCTCATCTGTCATTCACACAGCAAAGACCATCCCCCAGCCCATCACTCTTCTCTGGGCAGCTGAGGCTCCCTCCTCCCGCTCTCCCAGCCTCCAGACCCTCTACCTGAAGCCTCAGGAATTTCCAAAGTGCAGGAGGTTGCATCCATCTGCTCGTTAATCCCCCACAGCTCACCCTTGCTCCTGGTGACGTCACTGGTCACTGGTCACGGCCTGGCCTCTCTGGATCAAGCTCTGCTGACCTCTTAACCTCACAGCTGCTCCATCCCACCTGCCGTCCTTCACGCACCCCTCCCTGCCTGTCACTCCACTCGCTGAGTCCTGCAGGGGCGACTCCGGCCAGGTCATCCTCGGGGCCTCACCGCCAGCAGGGGGTGCCCCTCCCTGGACCCCCCCATTCCCTCACCTGGCCACCACCTTCCTGCTTGTCCTCATCTTCCCCTCAGTTGTGCCTTCTAAGAAAGCTGTAGGGGCCCCTCCTCTCGGCACCGAGTCCTCCCAGTTTCTGTCACAGCCCTCAGCCCTTGGGATCTCGCTTGCTGCACCTGCTCTCAGTGAAACAGTGGGTGACGCTGAATTTTGTTGACATAGTCCTGGTCCCCTTGCTCTGAAGAGGGCCCTGTTTGGGAAGATAGATTGGTCTCTGTGTCCTTGATCAAGCTGGGCCCGAACTCCATGGCTGTCTGCTCACTCAGCACTCGCGGCTGGCTGGCACAAACTCCCCTCCTAGCATGTGCCGGTGCCATTCGTATCCCTCCCCCCCCCCGCCCTCAGCCTGCAACTGCAGCGGCCACTCCGAGGAGTGCACGTTTGACCCGGAGCTCTTCCGAAGCACGGGGCACGGCGGGCGCTGCCTGCGCTGCCGCGACCACACAGCCGGGCCGCACTGCGAGCACTGCCAGGAGAACTTCTACCGCTGGGGCCCCCAGACTCGGTGCCAGCCCTGTGACTGCCACCCCGCAGGTGAGTGGGGCTGCCGCCCCAGCCGCCCGCCCTCGCCAGCTCCGGCCCTGGCTGCCCCGTGCCCTTCCTTCCCCAGGCTCCCTGCGCCTCCAGTGCGACGCCGCAGGCACCTGTGTCTGCAAGCCCACCGTGACGGGCTGGAAGTGCGACCGCTGCCTGCCCGGGTTCCACTCGCTCAGCGAGGGAGGCTGCAGGTGAGGGGTGGGGCGGGGCAGCGGGTGCCCGCGGCGGCTCTGGACTGCTGATGGGCAGCGGGAGGCACGGGGTGTCGGCTGGCTTCCTGTCCTCGCGCCCGCCTTTTCTTTTCCCCTCCACTCCTTTCACTCCTTTCTCTACTCAGCACTTTCTCATTCCGCACCTGCCCTGCCTCACCGCAGGCGGGGACTAGCGTCACCGTCCCTGGAGAGGCGACAGGTGCAGACGGGCGGGTAGGAGGCCAGGTGCACGTGCTGCAGGGGCCCAGCCGTTCTCAGGGGTCAAGATGTGAGTTCTAGGGCCTCCCCGGTGGGGCAGTGGTTGAGCGCTGGGTTGCGAAGCTGCCCGCGGCCTCTGCAACGCCGGTTCGATCCCCGGCTGCTCCCCGGCCACCAGAGGAGGGTCCCACATGGCGCGCGGACCTCTCCTGCCGCCCGCTGCTCCCCTCAGCAGTGTCCTTCGGTCCTTCTGCCTGCTCTGCTCCCCGCTCTGGCTCTGGTGAATTCTCTCACCCTCCCGCGCTTCTGACTGTACCCAGTGCTTGTATAAAAAAAAAAAAAAAAAAACCTTAAATAAATAAACAAATGATCTTTAAAAAAAGATGTGAGCTCTAGTGTGAGGACGGAGGAGCGAGGCTGCAGGAAGGGCAGGCACGGGCAGAGCACCCCGGGGCGAGGTGAAGCCTGAGCAGGGAGTAGGAGGGTGTGCAGAGGAAGAGGACCCGGCGAGGCCTCAGAGCCCCCGGAGCAGGAAAGGGGTGAGGTCAGAGGTCAGGGCAGAGGCTGCAGAGGCGGAGCTGGGGGACATGGAGCCTGCACTAGGGCTTGACCATAGAGGCCAGAGCCCCCTGGAAAGCCACGTTAGTGGGACACGGTCACTAGGGAACGGAGGAGGAAGAGGGGCTGAAGGCCCCCCACCCCCTACTCTACTTTGGGCTCCTGCATGGGGGCGGGGGGCATGGTGGGTGCAGAGGTCGAGACTGATGAGGTGTCCACCAGACAGGGTCCACAGGGTGTGCTGGGCTCTGCACCCCGGAACAGGCCTCTGGTATGTTTACCATCCCTTCTTTGAGAAAACACACAATGACCCAAAATAAACAAAGCTCTTAGAAATTCAGAAGCACTTTCAAGTGAATATCACTTGGGTTAATTGCAACAGTCTCCTGGAAATGTGCCGGGAGTGTGGGGGGGTCTCAGATCTTTTACCAAACACTTGGGGGTTCTGAGCACGAAACTGGCCATTCGGCATAGGGAGCCCGGATGCTTCCCTAGGGTTTCTCTGGCCTCCGGGCCTCTGCACGCACCATGCCTCCTCCCCCAGCTCGTTCTGCTCTCCCCCAAACCCACCTCTCCCCAGCAGCGTCTAAGCCAAGGAGCCACCCCCCCGCCCCGGGGCGTCTTCCCTTCTACCTGGCCGCTGGCCCCTTCCCAAGCACTTCCTTGGTGCCGCCACAGGCTCTTGTACACCCTCCCATGGCTTGTGTCCAAGTGCATGGGCTGTCCACCTCCTGGGCTGTAGGCTCCGTCGGGCAGGAGCTGTCTCGTCTGGCGGTGAATGAATGGTGGGTGGTGGCCGGATGCGTGGATGCGTGGGTGAGCGGTGGTGGCAGGATGGAAGGATGGAAAGATGGACGGAAGGAGGGACAGATGGGTGGTTGTACCAGTGGGTGGATGGATGGTGGATGAATGGACGGGAAGAGGGTGTGTGGATGGAGGGACGGATGATGGATGGACGGATGGATGGATGCATGGCGGGTGGTGCATGGGTGATGGAGGGGTGGATGGTGGATGGTGGATGATGCATGCACAGGTGAGTGGGCGGGGGGCGGGTGGGTCTGTGGATGGAAGGTTGGAGGGCTGAATACACGGGCGGGTGGGTGGGAGGGTGCGCAGGTGGAGGAATGGGTGGAGGGAGTACTGGATGCCTGGACAGGTGAGCTGGCGTGTGGGGAGATCAGTAGGTGAGCAGGTGGGCCGCTTCCTTGGCAAGGTGGGAAGAGTCAAGCCAGGTGCGGGCTCCCGAGTCAGCGGCCTGCCCTCGCAGCCCGGGGAACGGTGGAGAGCGCCCTCCGCGGAGGACGGGCTGTCCCGCTCTGCCTTGTCACCGGACATGTCTACCCTGTCCTGTCCCTTGGCAGACCCTGCACTTGCGATCCTGCTGGCAGTCTGGGCACCTGTGACCCCCGCAGTGGGCGCTGCCCCTGCAAAGAAAACGTGGAAGGCAGCCTGTGTGACCGGTGAGTGCACAGATCCGGGAGTGGACCCGCCTGGGGCTCTAAGTGTCACCGCGTGATTCCCTCACGCAGCCAGGCGGTGCTCAGAGGAGGCGGAAGTTCTTTGTTCACGCCAGTGGGCTTTACACCGGCGGCGGGCCCGGAGGAGCGCTCTCCCCGAAGTCTGAGCCTCAGCAATGAGGCAACAGGGCATTTATTGTCTAAAGCGAGGGGTGCAGTCAGCTGGGAGGCATGAAGCCAGCGTGTGGCCTTGAGAGCATTTATCAGCTGTTGCCTGAAGCTTCCCGTCTCCAGGCTGTGTCCCACCTTCAGCTCATCAGCAGGGCAGCCTGACACTTTCCCCTGCCGCACCATCCTGTGTGGCCCCAGCTCTTGCGATTCCTCTCTGGCTTGGCCTGGTGCGGAGAGAAGCTGACGTCAGCGCTGTGTGACTGGCGTGGCCTTGACCTCACCTTGGCTGGCCCCGGGCTGCCCGCCACCTCATCTATGCATGACCTGTGGGCTGTGAGGTCTGCTGGGTCTTCTTCCCCCAAGACTCCTCAAATGGGGATGGCATGGGGTTGGGGCACCAGATCCCACCTGGGCTCTGCAGCTTTGTTCCTGAGCCTCACTCTGCCCATCCATGAAAGGGGAGGGTTTGGTGAACTGTGTACATGGAGCTGGCGGGGGTCAGCCTAGGGACTGGATTCCTCCGTCCAGGCCAGCTCCAACAGATTCCCTCCCACCCCAGGGTGCAAACTGGAATCTGTGCTTTTAATATGTCTCTCCAGGACTCTTTGGAGAGATGACCCGTTCCAGGGCCGGGGCAGGGAAGTGCAACTTGAGCCGGCTCGTCCCGCCAGAATGCTCAGAACTTCTTTATATTTTTTTTAAAGATTTATTTATTTATGCATAAAAGAGCTGGGGTACAGGCCAGAGATGTGGGGGGTGAGAGGATTCACCAGAGACAGAGTGGGGAGCAGAACAGGCAGACTGACTGAAATACACTGTTGAGGGGAGCAGCGGGCAAGGCAAGAGAGGTCTGCCCCGCCATGTGGGTAGCTCCCTGGCCGGCCCAGGATCGAACTCGTGCTGCAGAGGCTGTAGATTGCTTGGTAGTGTGGTGCTTAACCCCTTGCACCACCAGGGAGGCCTCAGAAGTTCTTAAAAACAAAAACAGACCAAACTAAACCCCCAAACCCCACATCAGGAGGGGGGCCCTTTTAGAGGACACCAGAGCTGATCTGCGAGAGCTCCCAAAACCGGAACAGATTGAGGAGCAAAATAAATAATGACAGTATTAGATTATACCCAAGGAACAAAGTAAACACCCACAAGTCCCCGCCGGCATAAACAGATGAGTGAATAAATAAATACACGAGGAGGAGCGGACAGATCTTCCTCTCACGATTCCAAATGATAAATATAGGATCGAGGAAACCCACAGTCAGGGAGCCTCGCGGCGACCGTCAGCACAGGCACGAGGCACAGCGATCCTGACATCTGCGGGGGGGGGGGCAGCTTTAAGGACAGAGGGGAAGGGCATAACCCCCAAGCATCCCTGAGGTGCTTCTCACTGACTGTTTGGGTCCACCCTCTGCCCGGTTCTTTGACACGCCCCCTTCCAGGAGGCGGAACCTCGTTCCCCTGCACTTGACTGTGGGCTGGACTAGCAGCTCCCTTCTGCTGATACACAGGCAGGTTTGCAGTGGGGAGACCTGGCAGGTCACATGGGTGTCACATGGGTCTGGCTGCCCTGCTGAGCTGCCTGGCAGGGCCCATCACCTGTTTCTTTCCATCGTGAGAAACATCACCCCAGCCCAAACCAACAGCACCCTACAACATGCCCGCGCGCTCCTCCACAGAGGGTCCGAGGTCGTGAGAGACGAGGGGAGCCTGAGAACCTGTCACTGCTTGGGGGGGACGAGGACAGAGCTGATGCAGCACATGTCCCTTGGGACCCCATGCTCCCAGGAGTGGAAAGTGGTTGGGTGGGTGGGGGGAATCCTAGTAAAGCTGGAGCTTCTTAATCAGCTGTAACTGAGGTTAATTTCTTGGCGTTGACCCCCAAGCCTGGTTGTATGGATGGTGGGGGTGGGACAGGCAGGTGGGAGCCGCGGGAACTCTGTGCTATCGTTGCAACTCTTGCAAATCTGAGAAATGAAACTGAAATTTCCCCTTGACACTGGACTCGCCGTGTGTGGCTGGGACCGTGACCGCAGCGCTCCAAGGCATGTCCTCACTCCCTTGCAGGTGTCGCCCGGGGACTTTTAACCTGCAGCCCCTCAACCCAGCCGGCTGCAGCAGCTGCTTCTGCTATGGCCATTCCAAGGTGTGCACAGCTGCTGCCCAGTTCCGGGTGCACCACATCCTTTCCAGCTTCCGCCAGGGTAAGCAGTGACCCCAGGCACCTTCAGGGTCTGCGCCCACCCCGGGCAGGGCAGGGTGGAGAGATCCTAGAGAGATCCTGCAGGGTGGGGTGGGAGTTGAGGGAATCTCAGACCCACACAACCCACACGGTGCAACATGCGCCCCCCCCCTATGCCCATCATCACTCTCCAGTACCCACCTCACCCCTGGACCCCTCCCTGGGCCCTGCCTTTGTCCTCAGCCCCCAGCAGCAGGTTGAGGGGCTCAATACAAGTTGGGGGATGTCCTATCACTGGCGTAGTTCAGTGATGAGGATACTGGCCAAATCCACTGGCCTCCGTATATTGAGCACCTGCTGTACGCCAGGCTGCTATGCTCTCTTCAAGCACGGACCTCACCTGTCCCTGGCAGGCGCTCTCGTTCCCATTTTACAGATGAGGCAACTCTCCCGTTTTAAAAAAAAAGTGGGTCACATGACTTGGTTGTTGGTACCTGGTTTGTGGGCGTCTGATTTTTGCTCCTAATCCTTCCCTCTGGGCCCGGGGTCCAGGGGTGCCTGGGTCCCTAACTCCAGGTGGCACAAGCGCCCCTTTGGAGCAGGAAAACCGCTGGCTGTGAACTCCCGGGAGCCGCAGCCTTGCGAGCCGGCCCGGGAGGGCGCCTCAGCCGGGAGCGGGGCTGGCTGGCGGGCGGGCGCCCTCTGCCGGGTCCGCGTCCCTGGACGCATTGAGGCCCTGGGCTTGGTGCTTGGGTCCCGCCTCTGGTTTTGTCTCCAAGCACCCTGGCCAGAGAGCTCAGGCTTTTGGGTCTCCGAACATTACTGAGGACCCCCAAGGGCGTTCGCTTGTCTGTCCCCTGGGTGGGCGTCCCCCGTGTTGGAGACTGCACGGGTCACTGGAGAGAGCCTGTGAATTCATCCAGGCGTACGGCCGTCGCAAGCCCATTGCATTCTCTCGTCGCCTGTGAAAATAACTTTTTTTAAAAGACAAGAAAATGCCCGAGCAGAGGGCTGCTGGGCTCTTCACTCCCGGGAGGGCCCGACGTCCAAGCCGGGTCATGCTTGTGCCCTCCGGCTCCGCCACTCAGTCTGCTCTGAGTTACGTCCTGTAGCTTCTGGAAAACTCCACCTCACGCTTGTGAGAGCGACAGGATGAAAACGCTAGTGGTGCTATCTACACCCCCCACAACCCCCCCATGGGGTCTCGGGGATTTCCTGGGGGCCTGGACCAACCGGGAGAACCACCACTGGGCCCCCATTTTGCAGATGGGGAAGCAGCTTCAGAGGTTAAGGAACTTGCTTAGCGTCACACAGCCAGTGAGCGGCAGAATCTAGTCTAGAACTGGGGGCCCGGGTGTAAGGGCCAGAAACGGGCGCAGGGCAGGTTTTCTGATCCCATGCAGACCGGGCAAAGGAGGAGTCAGAGTCCTCAGTAGTTTTGCAGGTTTTTTATTTGGGGTTCACCAGGCATATGGCAGGCAGGGGTGCTGGGGGGCCGGGAGGCTGGCAGTCCTCCCAGCCCCCAGCAAATCCTCACTCTATCTGGGCTCTCTGGCCTTCTCTGCTTCTGCTGCTTCGTTCGGCTTCTACTTCTGCTGCTGCTACTGCTGCTGGCGTCCCCGTGACGCCGCCCTTAAAAGCACAGTCTTAGCTCAGCTGAACCCCATCTACCTATGCCCACACCCTACTCCAGGTGCCCGCCATCAGGCATGCGTTCAGGACAAGGATCCATCATCTATCCTGATGGCGGGAGGGCAGAAAAGCCTGACATTTTCTTTACCCTACACCGGGTCTCACCTGTCTGAGCCTTTCCCCTCTCCCTACCCCTCCTCCTCTCCCCTGGGGTTACCCTGGTGTTGGGTCTCCCCTATCACACAGCTGCCCCTGGGGTCACTTGCTCTGTGCCAGGCTGTGCCAGGGGCACCGCTGACGCCAGAGGGAGGGCGGCCGAGCTGGACCCTGGCTGGGTCACTTCCTACCCAGGTAGCCTCCCTGTGACGTGTGTGCCCAAGGATGATGAGGCCGGGTGATGAGGTCAAGGAGTCCCAGCGCCCCCTGCTGTGTCCTCATGTTGAATTCACAGACCCCTGAGTGCCCAGACACAAGGGCCCAAGCTTCCTAGTGTCACCTCCCATGGCGAGGCTGCCGCCCTGGCTCGGGATCTGAGCTGCCCAGCTGTGGCCAGATAATAGCCACCACCAGCTGCCCTGTCTCCGCACCCCGATGTTCAGACCTCTGGGGGCTGCGGGCAGAGCCCGCCCTCCAGAGCCTCACAGTGTGTTCTGCTGTCCAGGAGCCGAGGGCTGGCGGGCCGGAAGCGTGGGCCCGGAGCAGCCAGCACGATGGAGCCCAGGTGGGCTCCTCCTGGGCCCAGAAGAGGAACTCACAGCGCCAGGTACCTGCCATAGATGCCTGCTATGGGGCCCCCAAAATGACCCCATTTGCTTTTGGGGGCACCTATGTGGATATTACTCAGTTCTTATGAAAACACTACCCAAAACACCTCGGTGTCTTTACTTTGCCCTGGGTCTGCACACACTCGCTCGCTCCCGAGCAGAGGGCAAAGGAAAGGGGGTGACCTCTCGCGACCTTGCCCGCCACGTCACGACCCTCAACCCGAGTGGTGGGCTGAGGCCCTGGCTGATGCGGTGACAAGGGGGATCCACTAGGATGTCTTGCCCCTCCTTGCGCCTCTGGTGCCAGCACCTACTCTCTGGTGCCCTGGGCCCCGCCTCAGCAGCCAGTGCCCTGCTGGTCCCAGACAGAGCCGCCTCACCTGGCATTCACCTGGATGCCTCCCTCGTCAGGGCACAGGAACCTGAGCTCCGGGGCATCGGGAACATTTTATGTGATGCCATGTATGGGACACCCAAGGTCAAGGATAAAGGCATGAAGAATGGGGAGACAGAGACTCAGAGCTTTAAGCCAGGCTGTGGGGCGTGTGCCGGGGGTGGTAGCCCCCCTCAGCATCTGCCGTGCAGGGAGTCTTTGATTTTCTCCGCTCTGTACTTTTCTCATTTGAGCATTTAATTGCCAATGAAGTGGAGATGGGCCTGTAAAGTGGAGCTAATGAAATGCAGCCGGTAAAAGCCTCTTGTCTCCTCTCCAGGGAAGTTCCTGGGAGACCAGCGGTTCAGCTATGGGCAGCCCCTCACGCTGACCTTCTGGGTCCCCCCTGAGGGCTCCCCACTCCCCATGCAGCTGAGGCTGGAAGGGGCAGGCCTGGCCCTGAATCTGCGCCACTCCAGCCTCTCGGGACCCCAGGCCGCTGCGCAGCGCGGGGAGGTGCAGCTCCGGTTCCAGTAAGTGCCCTGCGAGGCGGTGGCGGGAGGCCCCCCGCGCCTGCCCGGCCTGACCCCCTCCCCCTGCCAGGTTGCAGGAGACCTCGGAGGACGCGGACCCGCCGCTGCCGCCCTTCCACTTCCAGAGGCTGCTCGCCAACCTCACCGTGCTGCGCATCCGCACGGGAGGCCCAAGCCCAAGCCCTCCGGGTCAGTGGTGCCAAGGGCCCGCCCCGGGAGCCAGCTGCGCACCCAGCACAGCCGGGTTGAGTCCTCACAGCAGGGAGGTCATTTTTCCCATTTCAGTCCCCGCCAGAGAGCTGGGGACACTTGCCTGAGGTCATGGAACTGGAGGAAGGGCAGGGGTGGTGGACGCTGAGGACAGAGGCAGGGGCTGGGCAGGCGAGGGGCCTGAGGGTCGGCAGCGCTAAGGGTCGGGGGTATGGCCCTCGAGGGGCCTCCCCCGCGTGGTGGCCGGGGTGCGCCAGGATTCCCCCCAAACGGCTCCCCTGTTGGCCACCGCTGGTATTGCACCTAAGCCCCCCTAAACCTTGGAGGGGAGTGGGGAACCTCTATGGGGGTACCTCTCACCCTGTCATGTGGTGCCCTGCTCCTGGGCACCCCCTCTTCCCTTAATGTACTTTTTCCTGTAGGCTCCCCCATGACCAGCACCCCATATTTACATGTGCCCAACCGGGCATCCTCGCTGCCCACTTTTAGGACAGGCCCTGGGTTTAGAAACCTCCTTCACTCCGTGGGACTAAATGCATGCACACGCTCCCCTCCTGGGGCCGCTTTAAAAAGTCAGTGTAACGCCCCAGCTGTACCTACAGTGCAAATGAAGGGAAAGTGAGCGATGGTAAAAAGTCACCAGATCCTTCCAAACTGTCAGTGCTCCGGCCGGGCCGCCAGGGCAGTGCGCAGCGGGCAGCGCTCTTGGGGTTCGGGGGGAGGAGACCCTCGGGAGGGCTCAACCAGACAGAGCAGGGACGTGCGGACAGGGGGAGCTGGCGGGAGAGGGCCCCCGGGGGGCTGTCTTACCCTAATGCTCTGGCCGCCCCTTGGGAGAGGCCCCGTGGCTCGCCTGTGCCCCTGCAGAGAGGCTGTGCCACCTACATCTGACACCCGTGCCCTCCCCCCTTCTGGTTCTCCAGTTTTCAGTTGTTTCCTGGTTGTTTCTGTGGGCAGCTTGGTCTGCCCGGGGTGATTCTGCTCGCAGCCAAAGGCCCCCTTCCGTGTTCCTCCACCCCCACGTGTGCCCCCCACCCTGCCCTCCACCGCCATCCCTCCTTTAAGGTGTCCCAGGGCTGGGGCGGTGTCACGAGCTTCCAACTCCCGGGCCTCTGTAACCCCCGAGAGTGAATGTCTTTCCCTCAAGCTCCACCCCTGTTCTGAAAGCGACCTGCTTTGCCTTTGCTCATTTGACTGCTTTTCAAAAAGTGACGGTGGCGCCCCACACACTGTCTACGTGCCAGGTGACCCCTTGCTTGTTGCTTCCACGTGCACACAGGGCTGGGGAGAGCCTCGTATCACTTCTCGCTCGCAGGGCAAGTGTGGCTGAGGGAGGTCCGGCTCGTGTCGGCTCAGCGGGGCCTTTCGCCCCCGCCTCCTGGGTGGAGACCTGCTCGTGCCCCAAGGGGTATGAGGGCCAGTTCTGTGAATCCTGTGCCCCAGGATACAAGAGGGAGACCCCACTGGGGGGTTCCTATGCCAACTGTGTCCCCTGCACCTGTAACCAGCATGGCACCTGTGACCCCAACACAGGTGAGTCTTGCACACCCCCCCGAAGGCCCCCTGGGCACATCCAGAACAGTGGGTCTAGTGTGGCGCAGGTCAGCGTGGCGCCAATGTGAGCGGCCGCTGGGAACAATGTGCGTTTTGCACGCACAAGGGACGGTGCACGCTCCAGCGTGGAGTCCCGCCAACACCCCTGGAGCGCCCCAGCAGGTGCGGGGAGGCCTCGTGGCCGGTAGGTGGCAGAGCTGCTCCTCCACAGCCATGGCCGCTGTCCCTCCTGCTTGCAGAAATCCAGAGCGCGCACCCCTGCCTCTCCCCGCCAGGGGCTGCTGCTGGGTGCCGCTGGCCTGGGCTCAGCAGGTGGGAGGGTGGGCGCCCTGCCGTGAGCGCTCCATGGGCAGGTGGGTCTCAGCTGCCACTGCTGACAAAGGACAGCGGCCCAGGGACCAGCAGACTGGGGGGTTGGGGGCACACACACCAACGGGGTCTTGCCTGGCCTGTGCCAGGGCAGGCATCACTTCCGGCCAGGTGAGGGCTCAGGGTCCTTCCAGCACTGCTCTCGCCAGCCCCCCAGGGGATGCGTCCTTGTGAGATGGGACCAGTTGTCCTTCCAACCCCTGGCCAGGCCTCACTCCTGCTCAGTCTGGGCAAACGGCAGGTGCCACCCAGGCTGGCTAGACGGACTGACAGGGGGTGTGTTCCCACCAGGGACTGCAGGAAAGCAGGATGGTGTGGCTGTTGCCTCCACACCTGCCTTGTGCCTACCTCCACCCCGGATTCCCTCCTCCCTGTAGGCCTCAGCCCCAGCTGGGTGCCCCCTGGGGCTGCCAGAAGTGGTTCACCCTCTTAACAAACCAGCCTTCTCACACAACCCCTGGCAGGGAGCCTCCCAGGAGCTGGCTCTGAGCGGCCTCCAAGCACCAGTGGCCTGGAAAGGGGTTTGCAAAATCCCCCATCATTAGAAACTGTCCTGTGACCGCAAGCAGCTCTGGGAACCCATGGCCCTGGGAACGGAAGCCTGTTAGCAAACTCGCCGTGGCCAGCATCCTGGGCCTGGGCCTGCCTTCCCTTGTTCCTTAAGTTAAGAGCACACAGGGAAGGGAGAAAAGCAGCCGCTGAGGGCACAGGGGTCCTCCGGGTCAGTTGCAGGCTTGGGAATGAGCAGCAACAGTGCAGCAGGATTCTGGTGGGTCGTGGAACTGGCAGAGGGCCTGGCTAGCCCATTCTGCAGGTGAGGACACTGGGATATGAGGGGTCACAGGGTCAGTCAGTGGTGGCCGAGAACCCAGGAGGACTCTCCAGCCCCAGGCTGTGTGGCCTCCACCTTGGGAGGGCCCTGGCCCCAGTACTGCCGGGGTGGGGTGCGCGCCATGGCCCTGACTGCACAGAAGCCTCTCCCTGGAGTCTGCGGGGCTCAGAGGGGGTCACCAGTGCCTGATTTGCTCCTCAGGGATCTGCCTGTGTGGCCACCACACCGAGGGCCCCTCCTGTGAGCGCTGCTCGCCAGGTTTCTATGGCAACGCCTTTGCAGGCCACGCCGACGACTGCCAGCCCTGCCCGTGCCCTGGACAGTCGGCCTGCACGGTCATCCCGGAGAGCAGCGAGGTGGTGTGCACCCACTGCCCCCCGGGCCAGAGAGGTGAGTGGCCTGCGCTGGGTGGTCCTGGGCTTGGAGTAGGTGGACTGAGGGGCCCCAGCTTAGGGGGCAAGTCTGACCCCTGGGGACATGGGTCCCCTGGTACTGCAGCCAGGGCCTGGACTGCTGTGGGCTCCTGGCAGAACCTGGGCCAGTGAGCACAGCCAGGAGGACTTTAGAAAATCCCCATGTCCTGGCCCCACCCTCCGAGCCTGGCTGAGTGGCCGGAGACAGGCCGGGCATCTGTGTCCTTCACATGTGCCCTGCCTGATTCTGACGCAGTGAGGTCAGAACCCCTGGTGCCGCCCCTTTCAGAGACGGTGCAGTCCTCCCACACAGAGGGCGCGCTCAGCTACCAGGCAGAGGGATGGCTTCATTTGCAGCCAAGTGGAAGGAATCCCAGGGGTTCTGTGCAGCGAAGTTAGCCAGAAAGACAAAGACAAATAGTGGGCGATGTCACATATGTGGGGGCCACGAGGAAACAGCCGCTGACCTGAGAAAGCAAAGGCTTCCCCGCCCAGGTGCTTGGTGCAGGCGTGGTCTTCGGTGCCCGCTCTGTGCCAGAGTGTGCCTCCCAGGCCGGGACCCTCCAAAGACCTCCTCGTCTGCTCCCTTTGCTGAGACTCCTGGCGAGCCTGGGGCTGGAAAGTGAGCAGGCCGCGCAGTTCAGGCCCAGGACGCAGGGCGGGAGCCCAGAGGGGGCTTGGACACCGCGGGAAGCAGGAGGTCAAGGGGTCGGGGGCCACAGCTGCGCAGGCATGAGGCGAGGCTGCAGGGGAGGGGCGAGGCTATGTGAGGAGAGGGAGAGACAGTGACATTGGGGTGGCCGTGAGATGAGGGTGGAAGAAACGGACGGTTGAGACCATGACTGGAGGACACCACGAGGGTGACCTTGACGGTGGTGACGAAGGTGATGAGGATGGCATGATGCAGGTGATGGAGCGATGACCACGGCGATGGTGGAGTCAGTGGAAGGTGATGACAGGTAACGATCAGGGTGACAGGAGACGGAGAGTTGGCGCCGACTCCGTGTCGAGGATGACGAGCATGAACGGGGTGACAGTCACTGCTGTTAGGGCTCACCATGTGCCACGCGCTCTAAGTGCCTTGTGCAAATACCCCAACAAATCCTGAGGGTCCTGTGAGGTCGCTGCACTGTTGCCCCCACTTTGCAGACGAGGGGCCTGCGTTCAGAGGTGCGGCGACTTGCATAAGACCCCACGGCCAGGTGACGCCGGCTGCACTGCGGCCCAGAGTCCGTGGTCAGCAGCACAAGGAGGGCCCTGGCTTCGCTTGCACGCGCTGCTCTCACGGCCCTCTCTTCTCCCCAGGGCGGCGCTGTGAGATCTGTGATGATGGCTTTTTTGGGGACCCCCTGGGGCTCTCTGGGGCCCCTCAGCTCTGCCAGAGGTGCCAGTGCAGTGGGAATGTGGACCCCAATGCCGTGGGCAACTGTGACCCCCTGTCTGGCCGCTGCCTGCGCTGCCTACACAACACGACGGGCGACCACTGTGAGCGCTGTCAGGAAGGCTTCTACGGGGACGCCCTGGCCCCACGGCCTGCACACAAATGTTTGCGTGAGTCCCCATGTCCCGCGCCCACGGGCCGGCGCTAGGGGGCCCCTGCTCCCCCAGATTGATGCCCCTCTGGGAAGCTGTGCAGTGTAGGTTCCCCGCCTTCCCTGTCTCCTTGTCCAGACAGTGTAAGGCTTTCTCTTCTCCAGGGTCTCTTTCAGCCTTAGGGACCGAGCACGTCTCTGATTTTTTTTCTGCCTTGATTGTTTAGTTCTCATCTCATGCTCTGCAGTTGGCACCCACGGCTGTCCCAGAGGGCCACTGACCCTCATCCTGTCCCTCCTGCCCCTGGGCTTCCAGCCAGGCTGTGCGCCCTGCTGAGGTGCCCTCCAGCCCTCCGCCAACTGGGTAAACACTCAGTTCCCACCTCCTCAGAGCGCCATCTCAGGCATCAGCCATGGAAGGTTCCAGAAATCTTGCAGGAAAGAAGCACAGCATTTGCCCCCAAATTATCTGCTCCTGAGCCCTTTCCCACGCAGCACCTGTCAGCACTCTGCTGCCTGCCTCTTGTTTATGCAGCCCGGGAAAGCAGGGTCGTGGGACCCAAAGCAGTGGGTGTAGGGTCCACCTCTGACCCCCTGAGGGGGCCTCTGCCCTTCCCAACAGCCTTTGAGGGCTCAGAGCAGGCTCAGAAGGTCCATCTGTCCTGGCTGTCTTGCCTAGGACCTAGAAAGTGGGGTGAGATGGGAGTTGGACCCTTGAGCCTTTTTTCAGAAACAGCTTAAGCATCCAGGCTGGACGTGAGTCCCCTCCATGGGCTCCCATCATTTCTGCTTCTCCTGGGCCCCCAAAAGCTGAACACTTGATCCATGTGGTTCCCCAGACCCTTTCCTGCTCTCCTCCTCAGGCTGTAGCTGCAACCCAGAGGGCTCGGTCAGGGAGCAGAAACCTTGCGACCCAGGGACTGGCCAGTGCGCCTGCCTGCCTCACGTGACCGGACGGGACTGCAGCCGCTGCAGCCCCGGCTTCTATGACCTCCAGCCTGGGAGCGGCTGCCGGAGGTAGGTGGGGCAAGGCTGTCCCCTGGGTGTCTTGCCAGGAAGGAGGACGGCGTCAGGGGGCCTCCAGAGAGGGCATCATCCTGCTCACTGCCAGCAACACTGCCCTCACCAACAGGGAGGCAAAAGGAGAGTCCCAAGGGGGTCAGATCCCAGGCCCTGCCAGCCCAGGGTGCAGGCCAAGAGCAGCCCCGAGGGACCGCCGGGTAGCCAGCTTCATCTCTGATTCCCTTCTGTGACGTCGCCACTGGGTGACCTTTGGGCCACAGTGGCCAAGCAGGGTCAATGCCCAGTGCAACAAACATGTCTCTCCTGCCGGAACTGCAGAGCCTATAATATGCCACTTGCTTCGTGGCTTCCCAGACAGGGCTGTGGTCTCCAGCACGTGTTCCCATAGGCCTTGGGGGCAGGCCCTTTGCGAGTCTGCGCTTCCCGGGACGCAGCCGGGGGGGCTGCCTGGCAAGCACGGAGGTGTGGAGATGGTGCCCGCTGCATGGCTGCCTGCAGAGACTGGGCTGGGCAGCCCCAAGCTTAGGCCAAGTTCCTGCCCTTATTGCAGCTGCAAGTGCCACCCGCTGGGCTCCCAGGAGGACCAGTGCCATCCCAAGACTGGGCAATGCCCCTGCCGCCCGGGCGTCGGGGGCCGGGCTTGTGACCGATGCCAGCAAGGCTTCTTTGGCTTCTCCATCAAGGGCTGCCGGGGTGAGGAAGAGCATCCTTCCCGAGCTGCCTGCAGTGGGGGGCTGAGGTTCTGGGCAGGAGGGCTGAAGGGAGGGTGGCCATGCCATGGGAGGGGCGGTGTCTGATGGAGATGTGGGGTGGAGGAGGCGAGGCGGCGTGGGAGTCCGGGGCCTGGAAGAAAGGCCAGGAATCCAGACTCTACTGCCTGGGCCCTCTTGGTGCCAGTCTGGACCTCAGTTTCCTTATTTGTGGGGTGGAATTGTGCTGCTGGTGCTTGGGTCTTGTCAGGCATGCTCTCTGTCATGTCCCCCGCCTTCCTCCACCTTGCAAGAACTCCTGGGAAGGCCCCGGGAATGTACTCGAGGCTTCCCAGCAGGGTCTGCAGCAGGCAGCTGTGAGAATGCGCACCGAGGGGAGAGGGCGGGGTGGGGGGTATGGGGCACCCGTGCAGTTGCCCCAACCTGCAGCCTGCAGGTGCTCGCCGCTGGGTGCCGCCTCGGCCCAGTGCCACGAGAACAGCACGTGCGTGTGCAGGCCCGGCTTCGTGGGCTACAAGTGTGACCGCTGCCAGGACAACTTCTTCCTCACAGCGGACGGCACACAGTGCCAGGAGTGCCCATCCTGCTACGGTCTGGTGAAGGAGGAGGTGAGCCCAGCCTGCCAGGCCCGCCAGGCCCGCCCAGGCCCACTCCACCTCTGGCTCATTCCACGTTCCCAGTGAGCACCAGCTCTGCTGGGCTCTTGGAGCTGCCCCCTCACCCACAGCTCTCCAGCCTCCAGCCCACCAGCCACCTTTTCCCTGTGCCCACCCAGCCCCCTGGCCCATGCCAACCTGATTCATCCCTCCTGCCCTTCTCCAGCTCCTGAGTGGACAGGAGAAAAGTGGCTCTTGCCACGTGTCCTTCCTGACCATCCCAGCCAAGGGCTCATGTTTTCTCAAGTTTGGTGGGAGCGAGACCACAGATGGGGTCTCATTTGCCGGGAGAGTCAGGAGGGGGGCATGTGGCGGGCATGGTGTGGTGCAGGGGTCAGGGGCATGAGGTCTGCATCTCCCCAGCCCCCAGCTCCATTAGCTACCATGAGTCTTCCCGACTCCATAGTGAAGGTTGTTCAGGCTGTAACCTCTTACCTGATACCAGCAAGCCACCTTTCAGAAAGATGGTGACACAGAGGGAAGGTGGTTGGACCCAATACTAGGTGCCACTCCCAACAGCGCCTGGACCAGCCGATGGCAGACCCCTTGCTATGTCTGCAGGAAAACCAGTGAATATTCACACCCAGGGGTGAATGGAGGCCAAGGTAGCCTTGTTCAGAACAGTTTGGCTTGCAAATGAGTCTTCAGAGTTTTTTGAAATGGATTTTGCCATCAAATAAGGAACAGAAAGCCATGTAGATTTTCAAAGCATTTCAAACTTCAGAATCAAGGAGGGGGGTCTACAGCCCCTGCCCCATGGGGTGGTTATAAGATGGACCTTGCTGGTGGCAGTCATCTGGCTCTGGGTCCTGGCACGTGCTCTATCCAGGCAGCTACTGTTGATGTGATTAAAGATGGGTGTTGGGAGATACTGCATAGCCCTCCTCAGCAAGCAGGGATGGGGGCACCTCCTCTGTGCCATGTCCTGGGAATAAAGCCAACGGACAGAAAGAAACCCTCCTGAGCTTCCTCCCCACACCCCCATGCCCTACCATCCCTGCACCCCATCCCTCAGCAGGACAGGGTGTTGTCAGCTAAATGCCACAGATCCCATAGGTGTGAGCTGGGAAGGGCGCAGCTGCATGTGAGATGACCGGACGAGCAAGGCTCATTCTCAGAGGTCTGGCACGTCCTGAGCTTTGAGGCCCAGGGTAGAATTTGGAGTAGGACACCCTTGGGCAGGCCAGGCAGACTGCCAACCTCACACACCCTTCTTCCCTGCCCCATCCAGACTGCCAAGCTGAAGGCCAGGCTAGCCCTGATGGAGGGATGGCTGGAGGGGTCCGACTGTGGCAGGCCCTGGGGACCTCTGGACATTCTGCAGGGAGAGGCCCCTCGGGGAGACATCTACCAAGGCCACCACCTGCTCCAAGGTAGAGTGGGAGAGAGAGCAGAAAGCAGGAGGCATGGGGAGGGCCCGCTGGCCAAACGCCTTCCATGTGGTCACAGGATGATTTGAGGACTCCGGGCTTGATCGCCCTAGGAGAAACATTTCTGGAAAAGCCCATCTGACCCCCTGACTGGGTGGGATCCTCCCATGGCGGGATCCTGCCCCCTCCCATGGACCTCCTTTAATGTCTTTTGTCCAGTTGTACTTGGGGCCTTTATTAATCCTGCTCTCTGACTATAGCATCTGTCCCCTGGCCCCAGCCCCACCCAGACTGAAAACTCATTTCTGCCCAAACCATAAACTCAGGGAGGACAGGGTGATGCCACCAGGAATGGGCATGGCGCTGTCCCAGGTGCTGAACAGGTAATGTCCCCGCTGGCTTGATTGGAAGCCATTGTGCTCCCTCTGCCTTATCTCTGTCATAGACAAAAATGACTAAATAATAATGAGACTGTTACTGCAACCAGGGGAAATTTGGCCTGGCATGCTGGAATTTAAGCATCACCAGATAGGGATTGTTTTGTGGTGCTTCGTGTTCACAAGCACCTGCATTGCTTTAGCAGCCACACATTCCTTTGGCAGTGAGCCAGGCACTGGTCCACAAGACTCATGTCTAAATTGGGAGCTCCCAGTGTCCCAATCTGTGAAACGCCCATCCTGAGCGTGCTGTGAATCCCAGGGCTGACTGGTGTCGGGATCTCACCACTGCCCTGGATCAGGCATTGCTTGTTGAGACTCTGGAAGGCCTGAGTTCCTTTCAGTCCCTCATCTGTGGCTGACTTCCTGTGGGGGGTCCTGGGTCATGATTTGCCTTCTCTGGGCCTCTGCCTCTGTAAAATGGGGACTCTTCCTTTGCAACCGATGGGTGGCACTGAGGGCTAAGAGTTATGCTGAGCCAGGAAGAGTGGGGAGCACAGACGGAGGCCCCTGTGGGTGGGGCTTCCATGTGAAGCCTCCACTACTCTGTGACCCCCTGGACTGGGGGATTTCTGCAGGTACCCGGGAAGCCTATCTGGAGCAGATGACAGGCCTGGAGAGTGCTGTGAAATCTGCCCAGGAGCAGCTGCAGGCGCTGAGAAGGAGTGCCCGCTGTACTCATGCTGGAACAAAGACCTGCCTCCAGCTCGCTGACCTAGAGGCAGTGCTGGGGTCCTCCGAGGAGGAGATTCTGCATGCGGCCACTGTCCTCAAGTCTCTGGTACCCTGGGGACCCCCTGCCCCATCTTGAGCCTGGACTCAGTGCTGCTGACCTGGGGCATGCCTCCCTGCTTTGGGGGAGGCTTGGTTTCCTTATCTGCAAAAATGGGGGCTGCACAGTGCTCCTCTGCTGATTCACTGAGGTAACACCTGTGCGGAGGCGGCATCCTCGGGGCAGACGCCGAGTGCCCAGCCAGGGTAGGTGTCCTCACTGTTCATTCCGAGGGCCAGGAATCCACTCACCAGATGCTGATGCTGTTGCTAGTTCTCAACACTTATAAAATAGCTGGCACTGTCTAGTTTTACCCATAATTTAGCCAGACATGACTCTTACCCTCAGGGATGGACCCTCAGTGTCCCCCTTTTTTCTCTAAAGGTGATTGCCCAGGAAGGGCCTGGCCAGCCCACCAACTGGAGCCATCTGGCCATGGAGGCCCGCTCCTTGGCTAGGAGGTGAGCCCCCAAACCCTGGGCACATGGTGAGGGCAGGCCCGCACAGCCAAGAAGGGATCCCAGCCCTTCTCCAGGGGCTTCCAAGGTCAGGGCCAGGCCACAGGTATCCCCACTCCAGAGTTAGAGTCAGGTGAGCACAGAGCTGCTTGGTGGGGGGGGTGCAGTGGGGAGATGCCCCCACAGTGGAAGGAAATAGCATGGGCCCAGAGGCGCAGGGCCAGGGATTTGGGGAAGAGGGTGAATACAAAGCTTGGTGGACTAAAGGTATATAAGCCATCGTTGACTTAAAAACAAAGTCAGCTTGTAGTTCCTATCCAGACCAGTCATACATTTAAAGTGTATAATTCATGACTCGCAGTCTATCTGAGAGGAACAATCTGCCCACCCACCTTAGGGCATTTTCATCACCTCCAAACCAGCCCCTGCCTATTGCCTTCCACTCTCTAGGTCTCCTCGACCTCTCCTCCCCAAGCCCCTAATCTGCTTTCTGCCTCAGTCCTCTGGACGTTTCACATAAGCAGCCTTACAAGGTGTGGCCTCCTAGCCTGGCTTATTTCACTTAGCATCGTATCTTTAAGCGCCACCCATGTTGTAGCATATACAGAACTTCGTTCTTGTTACAACCAAATAATATTTCTCCTGTCATCCTTTGGTAGACACTTGGGCTGTTCTATCCACTGCCTTTAAGAAGCAGCTTAAGATCCTAAAAACACAGGAGCAGCGGCTGTTTCCACTTTAACTATACTCAAGGCCCATTAGACCCATTTTACAGATGAGAAAACTGACTCAGAGACATCAAGACTTGCTGAAGGACACACAGCTTGGTTCCACACCATGTCTGTCCTGACCACGGGGCTCCCCTGTTTTTATTAGGGTCACGCTAGGATGTATAGTTGGAGCTGAGATTTGATGTGCGCTGCAAGGTCCTGTTAATCGCTATGCCGGGACAACTGGCACCAACTGCACATAACAGGAATGGGGGTGGGGACCCCCTTCCCATCAGTCTCCTTGTGTCAGGCAGAGAGAGAAGAGGAGCCGGGCCTCTTGGCTGACTCGTGCTTGGGGCAGCAAGAGCCCGTGTGGCAGGGGCTGTGGGTGTGGCCCAGGCCTCCTGTGCAAGCCCTGGTGATGGTCACTGGGTATGTTCATGCAGCCACAGGGACACCGCTGCCAAGATCGAGGCCACGGCTCGGAGGGCCCTGCTTGCCTCCAACACCAGCTACGTGCTTCTCTGGAATGTGCTGCAGGGCAGAGCGGCGCTGGAGGCCCAGGGGGAGCTGGAGGACAGGTGAGCCTCCCATGTGTGGCCAGGAGCTTGGCTTGGCCTCCAGAAGCCTGCAGACCTGGCAGAGACTGTTGTTTCAGAAGCAGCTTCCTCCTCCTGAGTTCTGATGGTCTTTAGGGTGGGTCAGTAGATCTGGGGTCTTGTGCCTGCTCAGGGGTAAGTTGCAGGAACCCACCCATGTCTGAGCGTACAGCTTGGCCTTTCTCTGTTCCCAGCATCATTCCGCAGCCCCGCTCAGGTCCTCGCCCAGCTCCTTTGTCTCCCCCTTCCTTTGCAGCCTCTGCTTCTCTGCTGCAGCCGATGCCCTTCTAGCCCACTCCTTCCAAGGGTCAGCAGAGACCTAGGGCCTCAATGAGCCCCAGGCTGACTTCCTAGATGAGAGACTTGGATTGGTCCAGCTTGGGTCGCATGGCCAGTCTTGGGCCCATTGGCATGGCTGGGGTGCGGTCACCTGACCTATCAGAGGGGTTTTTTGAGAAGGGGGGAGGGAGGGAGGGAGCCGCACAGGGGTGTCCACCCCAGCAGTGCCCATGGTGGCAGGTTGTGGACAGCTGGACAGGACAGGGAGCGCTCTGTGTGGTTGGGCATAGCACCTGCCCAGGGTCACCCCAGGGCATCACTGAGCCCAGACTGGGACCTGGCCTCCGTCCTCTCCCTGAGACCAGGCTCTTTCCTCTTCACGATTCATCCAGAGGAGCCAAGCACTTGCAAAGCATGTGATTCTCGGGTGGAAACCAAGTGCCAGCCCTCGAGAGGCGCGCAGCTGAATTGAGCGGCTGGAAAGACAAGAATGCGGGCCCTTCCTGCTTCTCTGTTCATCTGAGAGCTGCGGGGCGGCGGCCAGTTCCCGAGGCCAGCTGCTGGGTGTGCGCCCTCAAGGACGGCTGCCCAGAGAGTAGAGAGGCTGCCCACATCGGGGCTCTGGCAGGGCCCGGCGGTGGGTGGACAGCCCTGTGCCCTGCTCCAGGCCCCACCTGGCTCTGCCTCCTCTTAGGTACCAAGAGATCCAGGCGGCCCAGAAGGTGCTGGCCACAGCCGTGGCAGAGGCGCTGCCAGCAGCTGAAAGTGCACTGGCCACCACGCAGCACATGGGCACAGACAACACCCTGCACCTGGCCTTGCGCACCACCCCTGCAGCACCGGTCAGCTGGGCCGACCCTGTCCTCTCCGAGTGGGTGGGGGCAGGGGAGAAGGGGGCAGCTGGGAAACCCCAGCCCAGGCTCCAGGCTGTCGTGGCTTATTTTTAACTCTATAGCGGTTAAATGAGACAGTCTGCTTCCGGCATGACAGAGCCCCTGCCCGGCACAGAGTCAGCACTCACCAGCCGTGGTTGATTCCATTAATGTGGCGGCCACGGCCTCTTCCCCAGCACGGGCAGTGGCACCAGGCGCCCTGGGGTCAGGTCCTACACTACGGCTCCACCACCTTGGCCAAGGGCTGTCCCTCCCTGCCCTCAATCACTTCTGTTGATGGAGCTCACCCATGAGGTCATTTCATGGGTGGTGCGTGAATAGTGCACAAGGTGGCCTCGAACTTGTCAACCTCCACTCACCACCTCTGGGTCCATCAGCTCCAGCTTCTCAGCAATCCTGAAATCTCAAATCTCACAAAATGAACTTGAAAAAAAAAAAGACCAAGCTTGCAGAAATGGGGCAGAAGTTGACCGGATCCACTGACCCAGTTGTTCTCGTGGGGTGTCTGCCTCTCCCCACGTGTAAAGAGTCAACCTCAGGGGTAGCGGACTTGACCTTGTGTGCTGCCCTGGGTACAGCTCAGGGTGTTAGGGAAGGGGCAGTGCCTCACGGTCTAGAACATTCTGGACTCAGAAGAACATCAGTTGAGCCCCAAGGTTTCAGCTACGGGCTTATAGACCTGGGGCAGGAAATTCGGGTCAGGGAGGTTAGCTGCTCTGCCCAAGCCCAGGCATCCGGAAGAGGGAGGATGGAATCTGAGCCTCAGGTGACAGGTTGACAGCCCCGCCTGGCTTCTCTCTCGCCCGGCCCCTCTGCTTCCTGGTCCACACGCAGCCCTGTCCCCCCCTCCCCCCGCGTCCTGCCCCTGGGCCCCTTACCAAGTAGAGGCTTGCCCCTCGGACCTCCCCTGCCCGAGCCCACCCTCTCCCAGCAGCCTCAGAAGTCTCAGGCCCAGAACCTGGACCAGAAGGCACAGGCCCTGGAGAAGACGGTTGCATCTAGAGAGCGCACAGTCACCGAGGCTGCCCGGGCCCTCCAGGCCGCTGCCCAGGGCCTGCTGCACAAGACAGAGCCTCTCATGCAGGTTGGCGCTTGATCTTAGAAGGTGTCCGGCGAAGGTTGGGGCTGCAGGGGTTGCCTGGTCCAGGGCTGGCTGGAGAAAGTGAAGATTAGCGTAGTTCGTTCCGGCCCCCAAGGTCTCCCTCTAAACTCCAGAGAACCAGAGACCCTCCAGGGGTTCCCGCTCAGCCAGGGGATTCTGATTTCCTGGGGAGGAGGGAGGGAAGGTGAGACACTTGTGCACTGAGATTCTAGTTCCCACCCACCAGCTGCAGCGCAGTGGCCTTCTGAACAGAGATGCCCATCCTTCCCTCTGCTGCTTGCGCTCCAGTCCCCCCAAGCTTTTGGAAACGGGGAGCTTCATGAGAGATTCTCAGGATACCAAAAGATGCTGTCTCCCTGGAAGAGAGCATCGATCGTCAGTCTGACAAAACGTCAAGACCTCCGATATGTGGGCTGGTGTCCACCTGGCCTGCTTCTGGGCAGCTCACCTGCATGTCTCCTTCCCCCTCCAGCTGCACCGGGAGGCCAGAGCCGCCCTGACCTGGGCTTCCTCGTCTGTCCAGGCTGCCACGGTCACCGTCACCGGAGCCAGGACCCTGCTGGCGGACCTGGAAGGTAGTGACCAAGCAGGATGTCTCACTAGTTGTTCTTCCCACCCCCCCGGAGAAGCCCAACGAGGTCACACGCAGGTCTCGTGCATCTCGAACCTCCACTCACACAGTCCGCGGCCCTGGCATGGCTGGGCATCTGGCAGTGGCTGCCTGGCAGGCTCTCCAGCTGTAGTCGGGCCCTCCTGACAATTCTGTCTGGTGTGCAGGCCTAAAGCTGCAATTTCCTCGGCCGAAGGACCAGGCTGTGCTGAGGAGGAAGGCAGGCACCATCCAGGACAGGCTCCTGCCAGATGCAGAAAAGAAGACCAAGCAGGCAGAGAGGATGCTGGGAAACGCAGCCTCTGTCTCCTCCAGCACCAAGAAGAAGGGCAGGGAGGCCGAGCTGTTGGCCAAGGGCAGTGCCAAGGTTAGCACCATGGATAAGATGGCGGCAGTAGCCCTGCCCTCGGGCGGGCCTTCTGTCACAAGCTGTTTCCCCTGCAGCGCCTCTGCTCCCCAAAACGGGGTAGACATCTGCACACCTGCTGAGGTCTCGGGGAGCCCAGGCTCCCTGCTCCAGAGCTCCGCATGGGTGACCCTGCTGAGTTCTCAGGAAGTAGGCGTCACTGCTGTGCCGTGGGCCCGGCGAGCACCCTAAGGCCCAGTGACTTAAACCATGTAACCAGGACTCATCCCTAAGTCCGTTTGGCTTTGCCCGCTCAACTTCTGGGCCTCTCTTTTTAGTGGGGTCAAGTTCTAATTGCTGTGTCTCCCCAGTTCTCATTGGCTTTGTTGCTCAGGCCCCAAGTGAGCTACCTTTGTGACTGACAAGACAAGTAGGAGTCCCCGGGTTTGATTTCTGCTTCTGCCCATTGGGTTTTGCTAACTGCTCCTCTCTGGGACTCTGCTTCCCCATTTATAAAATAGCTCAGACTTCTCTGGGGAGAAATGAGTAGTATCACGCCATCCCCACTGCCAGGCGCCTGGCCAGCATCCAGTGCGTGTTTGTTGAGCGAATGGGTGAGCGAACGGAAGACCTGGTGCAGGAAGCGATGACCGCTTGGCATCATCACCTAAGTGTTCTTTCCCTCTGAACGAGGTCACACTGCTCACTCTCTTCTCCCTGCCGTTGCCCCCACCACAGCTCGCCAAGGCCCTGCTGAGGAAGGGGAAGTTGGAGCACCGCCGTGCCAGCCGGCTCTCCGGCCAGACGCAGACAACCCTCCGACGGGCCTCCCGGCAGGCGCTAACCTTGGAAACCCGCAGGCAGGAGCTGGAGGAAGCCAAGCAGGTAGCCATGCCACGGCCCCCACCCCATGTCCTCCTGGTGCCCCAGAGCCAGCAGGGAGCGCTCAAGCTTCCTCCCCCTCCCCAGGTGGGTGCCAGGTTGAGCAAGACAGAGCTGCAGATCCAGGAATCCCGAGTCTCCCTGCAGAAGGACATCAAGGCCTTGTCGGAACTGCTGGCCAGGCTGGGTAAGGGACTGTGAGGCTGGCCCCAATTCCCTGGGCCTGGGGCTGCTCGGGGGTCCTCTTGTGAGGTCCAGTCCCAGGGAAGGCTCCCTCCTTGCCCTCATCTGCACAGCAACCTGTCCCAGCCTGGTGGACAATCACAGGCATCTGTAGCTGCCCCGGGCCCCGTGCCAGGCAGGCTGGCATCCAGAGCAAGTTTAATCTGTGCCTCCGGGACCTGCCAGTTGGGTGGGGGAGGAGGGAGATACAGACAGAGCCCTGGGCACCCAGGGGGCTGGTCAGCACTCCATGGGGGAGGGCTCGGAGGAGGAAAGAGAGAAGCAAGGGTGGCTTCAAGGGTACAGAGACCCCTAGTCCCCCACTCTGCCCTCCCAGCCCCCACCACCCTGCTCCCCCAGCCCGCACCACCCTGCTTACTCAGCCCTCTCACCCTGCTTCCCCAGCCTCCAGCCCCTTACCTTGCTCCCCCAACCCCACCACCCTGTGCCCCCAACCCCCAGCACACCCACAATGTATAGAATTCTTGTTGTCACCTTTTGAGCCCAGGACTAAAATGCTACTAGTGCCATTTTGCCAACAAGGAAACTGAAGCACAAAGACTTAGAGATGCTCCCTGGTCCCCGGGCTCACAGGAGGGTCTAACTGATGCAGAATGTGGCTCGTAGCCCCCCGTCTAGAGCCGTGGCAAGGTCTCGGCCCTGGACACAGTGCCCAGCACAGAGCAAACACCTTGGCTGCTCACTCTGTGTGTGACCTGGGGATGCAGGAGTGAGCCACACACGCCTGGACCCGGCCTCACCCCCAAGAGCCCCAGCTGGACAAGTAGAGTGGGGGCTGTGCCCGATTCTGAATGTCCTCAGAGACCAGGCTGTCTGGACTTTCCTATGGATGGTGGGACTGCCGGAGGCTTTTGCTAGACGCAGGACCTGCCCAGGCAGCTGGGTTCAGCTCCCCTCTGCCTCATCCTGCCCCTGCTTACCCCCTGCGGCTGTCTACCCTCCAACCCGGTCTTCATTGCCCAGAAAATTTGGGGCCAAGGGGAGCCCTTGGGACCCAGTGGGATCCTGTGGGATTAGAAGTCCTTTGGGATTTACTTGCTCATCCCACCACTCCCCCACCTGGCTACGGTCACCCTAATGACAAGGTGCCAGGGCCAGGTGGGGGAGGCAGCACGTGCGTTCCCTGTCACCATCACCACCACCAACTTCCAACGTGATTCCCTCGCTCTACCCCCTCATCTCAAACTTGGGGAGGCTCAGAAAGCCCTTAGCCCCGAGAAACAGCTAATCCGTGCGAGGTCAGGACTAGCGCCCGCGTCCCGTCTTCCTCCCCAGCCCTCGTTCTGAATCCAGAGACACTTCCTTCCACACCGCGTCCTCCCACATCCCGAGACACAGGTGGCATCTGCAAATATGTGCTCTCAGGGGAACCCAGGCAGCGTGCGGGAGCCAGCAGGGATAGTGGGGAGCACCTGCATGCATAAGGCTTTGTCAAAGAGGAAAGGGGTCCCCCAAGACCCTCCTTTTAAACAATAGTAACGCCACCAGCAACAGTTGCTCAGTGTCACCAGGGGGACGTTCCGGCATCTGCACATGGCCGGGTGCCCAGACTGGCCCCTCACCCAACCCACCACCCTGCCCCTCGGCCCCCTGCTTCCCATGGCAGGCGGTAGGCAGTTGGAATCCTGAGGTTGGGCCTGGGAAGTGTCTCTGGGGAGGCCTGCGGGTACACACAAACTGTCTGTACCCCTCTGCAGGGTCACTGGACACCCATCAGGCCACAGTACAGGCCCTGAATGAGACCCAGCAGGCGCTGGAGCAGCTGCGGCTGCGACTGAGCCCACCCGGGGCCCTGCAGGGGAAACTGAGGCTGCTGGAACAGGAGTCAGAGCAGCAGGAGCTGCAGATCCAGAGCTTCGAGAATGACCTCGCTGAGATCCGCGCCGACAAGCAGAACTTGGAGGCCATTCTGTACAGCCTACCCGAGAGCTGTGCCAGCTGGCAGTGACCCCCACTTAGCCCCCCATATGCCCACCCCACAAGGGCACCCTGAAAATACACCCACCAAAGCCTGCTGCTGCGGTGCCCCCCGAGTGAATAGCCACCTGCCTTCCGAGCCCCTGCCCGCAGCCCTCCCCGCTCCCCACTGCCCCTGCGCCCACGAGGACGTGCAGATGCAGTGCCGTCACATGCACACGAGCCTGGGGGCAGCGCCCACTCATCTACTCCCCCCTCCACTGTGCCCCCACCACCCGCTGGAGGCTCAGCTCAAACGCCCTAGGCAGTAACACTCCTGCGCTTGCTCCTGGAAGCAGGGCCTGGGCCGGCTTGGCACCTGGGGGGCTGGGAGGGGCCATCTGTGGAGTTCTGGGTCCAGCAAGAGTCTCCCAGTGCCCAGCTGCTTTCTGTCCCAAGGCAGCGCCACCGCCCACTTGCCGCGCTGCGCCACAGAGGAACCGGGCACCCCAAGGAGGGTTCTCAGCAGCGGGACCTGAGCCCTGGGACTCGTGGGACCACGAGCAGCCCCATTGGGCCAAGGCATGCCCCACGCCCCAGGGTAGCACAGGCCTCAAGGAGCACATCAGTCTCAGGGCCTGGGCCTGGCAACTGGCAGCATCCCCTGTCCTGGTCCGGGGCCTTCCAGCTGTGCACTGTCCACAGACCCAGGCTTCAAGGGCCTGAGGGCCCTGGGCCAGGGACTCAGATGGGTGCCTGGGTCCCCTGGTTGACCTTTGACTGAATGACCAACCCGGATCTGCCCTGTGACCCTGAGGGAGGCCCAGCCTGGAGGCCTTTCTCGTCTGTCCTGTCTGGGGGCCCCTGTGACCTCTGCCCAGGATTCTCTGCATTTCCTCCTGGCGCTCCTCCCCTTTCTGGGCCTCTGCCTGCGGACAGCGGGGCCTTGGCACTGGGAGACCAGGAGCGGGTGGCGCTGCCCATGCTACGCACAGACCAATTCTGTTTACCGTGGAAATAAAGGTCCCATGGCTAGCTGGGTGATGTGCCTGTGGTCCTCCCGTGAGGGTTGGCAGTCAGGGACCCAGCTACAGGTGCAGACTCAGCACCCTGGTGTGTGGGTGCCCACATGGCATCCCCGAGATGTGCACACTCCCGCACCACTGCGCGGGTGGAGGAGCCCGCAGGAGCTGAACCCCCTTTGTCGGTATCTCCCTGGGGGCCAGGGCTTTGCTGGGCTCCCACAGGCACCTGCTCTCCCCTCCCCCAGGGCACTTCATCAGGAAAGGTTGGGGGCTAGAGGCCCCCAGCTGACCTCAGGTTCAGCTTGGAGACACTGACGCAGAAAGCGGAACTCAAAATCAAGTGCCCTGCAGCACACAGGCCGTGGAGGGACCCCAGGAGGGCTACGGGCTGGGTGAGGACACGAAGGGGACATTCCAGGCAAGACGGTGGGCCATGGCGCAGGGGTTGCTGGGTAGGGCCTGGCCAGCACGGGGCAAAGGGGAGACCCAGGTCCCCAGGATGGGACAGTGGAGTGCTCTGCCCCATCTGCAGGACTGGTTTAAGCAGAAAAGGGGAGTTCACTGGGAGGGTCTGCTGGAATGGGGGTGGGAAGCGCTGCCAAGCCTGGGGCTGAGCCCAAGGCCACATGACTGGGCTCCTCCCCCGTCTCCATTAGCTGCCACCTCTGCCATCTCCATGTGGCTTCGGTCTTCTCTACGGAGCGTCTTCGCTTCTCCTGCATTTGATGGACAAGGATGCCTCTCGCCCTAGCCCCTGCCACCCCCGGAGTTTACAGATCAAGAGGTCAAATGCTTGGCACAAACTGTAAACTGTCCTGATTCCAGCTTCCTGAAGAGACCCGCCCAGCTGGGGCCAGGTTCCCCACACACACCCTCCTGTTCAGAATATCGGGTCCCTGCGTCCAGGGCCATATAGCAAGAGGTGGGCTGTGACCCTCCATGCCTGCTGGGGCCCTTCAGAGCAGGGGGTGCACTCCCCTGGAGAGCCTGAAGACCCAGGGACCTCGAGGACCCGGGGAGTGACTTGGAGGAGGTCAGCAGCCCAGAGGGGTGGAGAACAGGCCTCTTCTCCATTCCACAGCCGCCTCCCTCAGGCCTGCCATGTGATGACTCAGCAGTCTGATCACGCCTGGGGTGAGCAGAGCATGCTCTGGTCCCAGAGGTGGGGCTGCGCAGGGTGGAATGTGGCAGCTGTTGAACATCTGTCTAACAATGCAGCCCAGCCACTGAGCAGTGAGCAGCAGTGGCCTCTACCTTGCAGAACAGCTGCCGGGCCAGCCAGCCTAACTAGCCAGGCCAGCGGGTCCTCGGGGCCTGGATTGGGAAGTGCATCCTGAGGGCCCCTGCGAGTCAGCTCCTGTCACTGGCCTCCAGGTAGAGCATTTCCCACCAACCTAGAGTCAAAACTCCTAACCCCTTCTCCTCTCCAGCTGTTATTATCAGGATGAGGTCATACGGCTTGACCAGATCCAGACCCTAGGGCAGATGGGCCCAGGAGAATCACCTAGAAGCAGACACTCGGCTCTGCTGGGGAGCAGGAGTTTGCCTCTGCAAAATCGTCCCGGAGTTAGCCCACCTTGGGCTGGCCCCTTCCGTCCAGTCCCTCCCTTGGGACTACCCGGTCATTTCCCTCCTCCTGTGGTAACCTGTGCCCCTGTGGGTCCCAGGATCCCAAACCTAAGGGTCAAGCTGAATGCAAGTGTGTGGGGCCCAGCCCCCAGGCCCAGCCCCACGCTGAGTGTATGCCAGGCGTGGGTATTAGTAGTGACAGCCCCCACCTGTGCCTGTGGCCCCAGCACGAGTACTAGGAGTGCCACCTTGCGTCCCCAGACACGCCCTGATTTCGCCCTGATTTGGACCCAAGGCTTCATGGGCACAAGTCCAGGGTTCATGCACCCCATCCTTCCAAAGTTAGAGGTTGGCTCACACCCTGGTGGACTTGAATTTGGGGCTTCAGCTTCCTGACCTGGGAATGCCAGGTCCCCCTGGATAGAGTGACAATTAGATGACACAGCAATTGCAACCTGCGCTGACCTGGCACAGCGCCTGGCCTCTGGCGGCCAAGGACCAGGGCTTGTCAACACACCAGCCATCCCCTAACTGCCTTAGGGCACCACCATGTCCCAGTGGACTTTATCATCCAGCCCCCGCCAACCCCCAAAAGAAAAAACAACCACCACAAGTTTTTCTGTTTTTCTTTGAAGACTGTAATAAAGGTTGGGGCCGCCCCCCCTCTTTTCTAGAACTGCCGGCTGCCTGCCGGGGCGCCCGTCCTGCCCCCGGGCGGCGGTGGCGCGCTCGCTCCCGCCCCAGCACCGCTTTGATCTTCGGGCCGCCCCGAGGGGCACGAGAACCGCGTTCCTTTCACTTTTGGGGAGCCCGCACCTCCGAGCCGGGAAGGGGACGCGCCGAGGTTCCGGGGGAGCGGGGAGCGGGGGGCTCGCGGCGGCCCCAGCAGAAGCGCCGCGGGGCCGCGTCCCGCATAATAGCCGCTTTGATGCCCGCGGCGGGCGGCGGGCGCGGGGCGGGCGCGGGGCGGGCGCGGGGCGGGCGCAGGGCGGGGGGTGTGTCCCGCGCCCGCGCTCCTCCCGCCGCCGTCCCGCCGCCACACGCCGCCCGAGCTCGGACCCGGCGCCCGTCCCGCCCGCGTGTCCCGCCGCGCCCCGAAGTCCCGAGCCCGCAGGATCCCGGGGCTCGCCATGGCGGTCGCGCTCAGCAACAGGTTCCAAGGTAGGCGCCGCCGTCCGCGCGCTGTCCCGCGGGGGGTGCCCGCGCCCCAGCCCCGCGCCCCGGCCCCGGCCCCAGCCCCGGCCCGCGCCCTGCCCCGCGCCCCCCAACGCCCCCAACGCCCCCGCGCCCCCCGCCCCGCCCGCCACCTGCGCGCGCCGTGGAGGCGGGTTCCCGGGCGCGCGGGAAGCGGGCGCGGGCCGGGGGCATGAGGCCCGTTGAGACCCCGGCTTCCGGGGCTACCTCTTTGTCTCCCGCAGGGGGGAAGGCCTTCGGCTTGCTCAAGGCCCGGCAGGACCGGAGGCTGGCGGAGATCAACAGGGTAAGCGCGCGCCGCCCCCGCCCCGCAGCCTCCCCGGCCCGGACTCGCGTCTGCGCCCCCAAACTCCCACCTTCGTGTGCGAGGCTGTGCCTCAGCTTCCTCGCTTTCCTCGGGCTCCCCCTGATTTCCCTCCTCTTCCCCTGCCCCGGTGCTTCCGACTCCAGGTAGGTCCCCCTGCTCCCCCGCGGCCCCTCTGATCCGGAGTCTCGGGTTGCACGCTGTCCTCGGAGGCGAGGGAGGCTGGGCCCCCGGGGAGCTCTGACGCGCCGGGTCCCAGCGTGCCCCGAGCCCCGAGGCCGGCTTGGGACCTGGCACAGGAATTTGGAGCCTGAGGGACCCCCTGACCAGCAATCCCCGATTTTACGCAGAGGGAGGCCCGACAAGCGGGGTGGCTGGCCGTTGGGAGCACAGCAAGCCCCACGGACCTGTTAGAGCCAAGGCCCGGGGCTTGGGGCCGGGCTCCCACATCAGTGCTCTCTTCACTGTCCAAGTGCTGACCGCCCCCACCCCCAGCCCCCACCCTTACCCTCAACCCCTTTCACTCTAACTTTTAGGAAAGTTTCGCGTGGAGACTTGATGCTTTGGTGCTGGCCCTGGTGGATTTCTTTCAAGAAATCCTTCCAACTCTTGCCAGGCACACAATGGGCGCTCCATAAGCCTTTGCTTAATGACCTTGTCGATTCTGGAAGATAAGGGACAGGGTCAGGGCCTGCCTGGGTTGGCCAGCGCTCAAAGGCAGCACAGCCAGCGGCTTTAGGGCTCTGCAAGACCCGGGCTCGGATCCGGGCTCCATCCTGTATCCGCCCTGCGGGCTAGAGCAAGGGCCTCTCGTCACGCGTCAAGGTCGTCTTGAGGGCTCAATGAGGGAGGCGCCGTGTGTGCTTGGCCCGCTGCCTGGCACCAGGGGAGACCCCGTGGATGGTGCTGGAATTACCTCATGAGGAAGGCTCCCAGGTTCCTTCCTGACAGCCGCAAAGGCATGCCCACAGACACAGGGGCGTTCTCTCTGCTGCCTTATGGGCACTGGGCACCCGGGTATGAGCCCTGCTCTGAGCGCGTGCCAAGCTGGGGGTCTGCAGGGTCCCAGCAAAGGCTGTGTGGATGTGGGTCCAGGGGCTGGGGCTCAGTTGGGGTGCCTTGGTTTTCTGCAACTGCCTAGACCCAGTCTGATTTCGTTTTGCTGGCTGGGGAATCCCAGGGAGGGTGTGGGGTCCCTCAGGGTATCAGCCCCCTGCCCCCTTCACCATCATTCTCACCCGGCCTCTGCTGCCATCTTGAACAGTCTGGACTTTCTGCTGGGGCTCTCGGGGGTCGAGGCTGCCGGCTCCCTCCCAGCTCCCTCTGCAGCCAGCCCACCCTCGGTCTTGGCTGTTCTTGCCCTCTGGACAGGAGCCTGGGGCCCTGATCTCATCCTTCTCCCTGGGCCACTCCGCAGGGCGGGCTCCAAGCTGCCTGCATCCACCCACAGCCTCAGGACCCCCGAGCCAGAGACAGGTCGCAGGGCGGGTTGACTGGAGTTGGACAGAGGAGCTAAGCGTGTGTGGGACTCTCCCTGCCAACCCCGCCCTTGGGGGGGCAGGTGGGGGAGAGAGGCTGCAGGATTGTTTTGGGAGGTGCACTGGCTTGGCGCAGAAAGAGGAGCAGCTGTGGCTGTCAGGGCTGATTGGGCAGTGGCGGGGCTGGGGAGGGGACACAAGAAGAGGCCTCCTGACCACCTGGACCCACCCTGGTGCCCATTAGGGCAAGCACCCGGCTGAGGCCACGCACAGGCAGTGGCGGAGCTTCAGGCCTGGGTCCTATTCTGAGGCCCCGTGTGAGCCCGGGCTGCTGTGGTGCCCTGGGACCCTGGAATAAGGAGGCTTCAGGATCAAGCCAGAAACTTACCTGCTTCCCACCACAGCCGGTCAAGTTTAGTTAGGAGTCTGGCTCTGACCTTGGGTTGTTGTGATTTTTTTGGGTGACATAATCTATGCAAAGCACCCAGAGCCGGCTGCTGTCTTGATTGTTCTCATTGGTTTGTTTGGGTCTGACAGCAACTTGGGACAAGGCCTGAGGTACCCCTGGTCCATGTCGCTGCTCCGCTCGGCTCAGACCCCGTCATCTGGCAGAGCCTTGGTCTTCCCTGGCCTGGAATGGGGGAGATCCCTGCTCTGCTCAGCAGCCGGCAGTCGAGAGAGGCAGATGGAAGGGAAGAGGTGTACTTACTGACAGTACAGCCGCCGGTAGAGAGAAGCCGATGGAAGGGAAGCTCTTTGCAGACTGGGGAGTAGCTCTGTTGGCGGGTTCGGGTCTGTTTCCCCCTTGAGCAGGGCCAAAGCCGGCCATTGGGGAGGAGGCTGGTCCCCCGGGGTGGGTGGGTTCTGGAGAGAACATGCTCACAGACTGCCTGCCTTTGGGGTGTGGCTCTGGAGCAGGACTTTTGGGGGGCTGCACTGAGCAAGGGCTGAGCGGCCCTGTGGAGGCGGGAAGCCTTAAAGGACGGCGTTCCATGACTCGATACTTGTGGGGTCACATGACCAACTGGGGTGCCCACAGTTAGGGCACAGACATGGGGGCAGGGGCAGCGCCTAGCCCAAGTAGCAGTTCTGGGGGTTTCTCCAAACCAACATTCCAGCCCCCTTCAAGACCTTTCTCCTCCCCGGGCCGGCTTGCAGAGGGCAGCTGGGAGGCGCAGGCTTAGGTATTGTTACCATGAAGGATTCAGGAGTAAAAATAGAAGGCTTGGGCCGACCTGGAGGTCTCGGTGGAGCTGTACAAAAATGTGCTTTTGAGGGTTTCACTTTAGCTTGTTCTCTCCTTTTCTTACCACTTGCCAGGCAGGCTCAGGTCGGCGACCATGGGCTGCTCGCCCTAACTCCGTGGGGAGGGCGCTTTGATTCCCATCTCCCAAAGAGTGAGGCCCAGCGGGGTGGAGCAGCAGCCTGTGTTTAGCTGCACTACCTGAGCTCCACCTGTCCTGACTCTCCAGGCTGGCTGGACTCTTTGCCAGTGCCCACCCTGCCCTGCCCTGCCAGGCCGTGAGGAAGTGAGCGTGTGTGTGTGTGTGTGTGTGTGTGTGTGTGTGTGTGTGTGCGTGCATGCACCACTGGAGCAGCACACACCTCCTACTCCCCCGCATAGCTGACATTCCCCCGATGGCACGGCTGGTGACCCCAGACCAGCCAGGCCTGGCTTTATATGGCAACAGGACAAATTCATCAGTTTCCCACGGGGACAGAGAGAAGTTTGCCTGGTGGGTGCCTCTTAAAGCCCCTGACCCATGCATGTGAGCAGGAGGAGTCTATATGAGGCAAGGGCTGCAGCTTGAGCCCAGAGGGCAGGATCTTTTTTTTTTTTTTTTTTTTTTTTAAAGGTTTATTTATGCATACAAGAGCTGTGGTACAGGCCAGAGATTTGGCGGGGTGAGAGGATTCACCAGAGACAGAGTGGGGAACAGAACAGGCAGACGGACTGAAATACACTGCTGAGGGGAGCAGCGGGGAGACAGGAGAGGTCTGCTCGCCATGTGGGTTGCTCCCTGGCCGGCGGGGGATCAAACTGCAGAGCTTGCTAACTGCTTCATAGCGTGGTGCTTAAGCCATGGCCGTGGCCTGCACATCCTCTCCTGGGAGGAGCCCAGCAGCACTGGCGGAGACAGAGCTGCTGCGTCAAAAATCTGTAAACACCCTCGGGACAGGGATTACTAAGCCTCCCATTTTAGAGATAAGGAAACAGAGGCTCAGCCAGGTGAAGTCATCTGCCCAAGGTCACCCCACCAGGAAGTGGCAGAGCTGGGATTCTGACTCCTGATGCTGCCCATGGCTGCCCTGGCCCCTGTCCACCAGGTGGCCGTGGCTGCGCTGTGACACAGGCCTCCCTGGCTTATGTGGATAAGGATCTCTGGCTGTGGTCCAGCCCTCCCATCCCTCCAGGGTCAAATGAAAGGCACTGAGCATTCTCTGTAGCATTAAGGTGCCTGGTGACTAGTTCAGACCCCATGTGCTGGGCATGGCAAACTGGGCATCCCTCTGCGCAGGGGCTATATGGTCCCCCACCCCCTCATGCAGACCTCTGAGATCTGACCCAGGCTCTACACAGGTGTGCTCTGTTCCTTTACCTGGCAGTGCCACTCTGTCCCTGCCCCAGTGACTGTGCCCAGCTGGCATCGCTGGACACCCGTCTCTCTTGCTCTTCCTTAATATATTATAAGGGAGATAGTGATAAGTGGCCACGTGAGCCTCGGAGGATTCAGTGTCCCTGCAGGCCCAGCCCATTGTGACCTTGGTGTGGCCGTGTCACAGGAAGCTGGAGATGGAATTTCTGTAGGGCTGGCTTCATTCGTGTGGTCTGCTTTTCTCCAGCTGCCCCATCTGTTGGCGAGGCTGTGGTGTCCGGATTGGCCCCAGCGCGGCAGTAGGGAATGCGAGCCCACTGGCGTTGTGAGTGCACGTTATGGCCCCTGCTATGTGCCAGGCACCAGGCTGGCCATTTGTGACCCGGTCCTAGCCCTTGAAGAGCCCACGGACTGCGTCAGAGGCCTCACGGCTAGGCATGTGCCACCCAGTCCTTGGGGTTTTCGCCCCAAGGGCTTCAGCCGTCAGCCCCTTGGATGGCCTCCTAGATGGTGATATCTACCCACCTCCAAATTCTGCTGCCGCTCACACATAAAGGGCCTGAGGGCCAGGAGCAAGCACCCGGAAGCACGTGCTGGAGGTATCAGCCTGGTGCCAGCAGGCAGGTGGCAGGGATCCAGGGGCTGGATCACCCACTTCTGATGCTTTTGGAAATAGTCCCAGCCGAACAGGCGCCCTTGGTCCGTGCATGGTGGTCCGGGGTGGGGGTCCTGACGTGCACCAGAGGTTGTAGCTGACCAAGGGGGGCAGCATTGAGAGCAGGTGTGGCTGTGGGCGCTGTCCCCTGGCTGTCCCCCGGGGCTGAGATGGGAGCACTTTGTCCCATGTGTATGGGTGGGTGTCCCTTTACCACCAGGTTGGCCCAGCGGCCAAGGACAAGTTTGCACC